CGCAAATCCAAACTCTTGTTATTACTATGTTTCTCTGTACCTATGTGCCCGACCAGATACTGGGCTTTTCTCTCCATAGGTAAACCTTTTATATAGTTAAAAACCTCTATGTACACATATTTCCCCCATCGGCTTCTAGCCTCTTTTTTTGTGCACAATGATATGTCATCACTTATAGTTGTCTTATCAATAGGCACCGTTGATCTTCAGATCCTACATTAATTATGATCCACTTGAACACATATCCGAATGTTTTATAAAAGAAAATATTGAAAAATTGTAGCAAGCTTGTAAATAATTAGACTTTTAAATTTCATATATTCATTGTCTTCCTCCACTTTATTTTCTTTAATTTTATTATTTAAAAAAAATTAAGTAACTTTTGTTTTGCTAAATAAGAGCTTTAATTATAGCCTCAATTATTATCAAAATCGAACAAATATCAGGATATTATGGAAATTTATTATAATAAGTACTTAGAGAAACCTTGACATGCACGTTACCTACCTTCGTAAACAATGCATTCTTAATTTTACATAAGAGAACGAGTGAGAACATGAAAAGGAATAGGAAAAAACTATGGTCTCTGTCATATTTGGTTTCCAAAATGATTATTCATTTACATTCTCCTTCTTTCTTTCAAGTGTTAGACAAGCGCAATGCTTGTCACATGTTATTGTTTGCATGGTTTAAACATACAATACAACTATGCATTAATTCAGACGAGTTGCTAGTCGGTTAGCAACAACATTTTTTGTGTTCAACTCACCTTAAAGATCTTATATATCGACCATCCTTATTATATAATATTTTAAATTTAGGAACCGTGTACACAGTAAAAACAAAGAGATTTAATGCAATACCAAAAATAAATAAATACTATTCATATGGTATTGTTCACTCGTGCAAAAAATGCCAAAAAATATTGAAACAGGCATCGAAGTTGGCGCAAGATGTGCCAGAAACAGCGTAAAATGTGCTACAAATTAAAGTCCAGTATAATTTTTGATGCTGTTATAAAAAAATAGCAATGAAGTTAAAATAAAATAAATAAATAATAATAATAAACATATATATATATATATATATATATATATATATATATATACATAATATAAATCAAAGATAAACAAACAAATATCAAATATTATAATAGTAAAAGATAACGACGATACTTAGATTTTTCTTTGGCAATGATTACTTCGTTAAGGGTTAGTTAAATTTTAATTGTGCTCGTTACAATTTAATTGAGAGAGAAAGAAAGAACAGTGAACAAAGAGAAAATAATTTAAGAGAAAATAAAGGAAGAAAGAGAGAGCAACAGAAGAAAAAAAAGAAGGGAAAAGAAAAACCCGAGAGAAAATGTGAAGGAGAAAGAGGAAAATAAATGAGGGAAATAAAAAAGGAAGATAATATTGAGAGAAAATCTCATTCTCTTAATTTTATTCTAATTATGTAAAACTGATATTTTGAAGTTATTTTCTTAAAAGCTATAAATGTGTTGTTACACTGTCCAAATGTTTTCTATTCTTTTTATTTTTCTGTTATCTTTGACTTTGTGGATTTGATGAATTTATAATATTAATTATGAGAGTGATTTAAGATTATAGAACTAAGAAACTCTTTTGATATCAAATGAATATTACGAGATATGTAATGTACTACTAAATGACTGTGATGTGACTGAATGTCAAAGGAATCAAATGATTATAGGATAAAGGACGTCTTATAATGTCCTGAGCTCCATCATACGAAACCTTTCACATATAGAACCCACATAATTTGGGCGCTCACATAATTTGAGCATTAAGCATTTCAGTTAAGATTACACGTTTATTGATATGTTTGTATGCAAAAACCCACAAAATTTTGAATATGTTTTTATGTAGAACTCACAAAGGTTTGGTAGAACCCACAAAGATTTGGGTATTTGAGTGAAGAACTCACAAACAAAGGTCTGAGCTAATATTTATTATTCATGATATTGTTTTCTTATTATAAACATGTTTTGAGATAATGATATTTTTTACTAAAATGATTTTATTGGTTATAATATATTACGAAAACCCTAATATAATGAAAATTTATCTCAGGTGTGTTTGTTTTTATACTAAAATTTTCAGAGAGTAAACATGTCAGTATTTGTATCATTGACGTAGGATAAAGTATCATGATTAAAGATTATGAGGACCGTATAGAGTTTATGAAGATTGTGTATACAAGCTTAGTTATAGTTCTTACTTGATGTTAAACTACTTGATGTTAAATAGTTCAGAGATAAGAAATCAATGTATTAGACTCGGTCATATGTATAATTAAATTTTAAGTGTATTTTATCATTTTATATCCATTGCGTTAGAATCTTATACTCTTTAATTTAAAATAAGATTTAAGATTTTAAGTGATATACTCTATGTTAGTCAGTTATAAAGGATGTTACATTTAAAATTGAATTAGCATAGTAAAATAAAATAGTTATTGTTTTCGTATATATGAGAGACAAGTGAGAACGTTTTGTAAAAATTGAAGTTGTTAAGTAATACCACCCGGTCCACCCCGCATGTGAGTCAATTAGTAAAAGGTAATTTTAACTTAATTAGTGGTCATGAGTTTGAGTTTTTGAGAATGTAATCTTGTTAAAACTTAGTATGGAGATTTTTTTTTTAGCAGGCTTAGTAGGGAAACTTTGTTGCCCATATGATTCTTCCCGACTTGAACCAGACTAGTTGGATAATCGATGAATTTTGATGGTTAATATTAAAAATAAAATAAAATTGTTAAGTAATTACAGTCATTCAACTATTTTCAACTGTGTCATACTTCTTTAATTAAATATAATTAGTACTTTAATTAAGTATGGTTAGCAAGGGTTTATTTTTTTTATTAATTTCTTTTTGTTGCTAAAGTGGATTTAAAACAAATTCATTTCAAATTTCTCTCTTTCTCTCTCTATATAAATAAATGGATTAGTGTTTATCTTTTTAAAAGATATAGAATTATATTATTTTAATTAAAATTACTGTGTTTTATGGTAGAGAAACAAAAATCATGGGTGAAAAAGTAAAAGATTTTTCTAGATTTAAATATTAAATAAAAAAACATTAATTTTAACTAAATTACTGCCCTTTTAAAAGGACAAACAAATTTTTCATAAATAAATATGAATGGTTAAAGCCCGAAAAAAACATGACTAAGAAGGATACCATTCAGTCAGAACACGGTTGTGTTTGCATGGACATTATTGAAGAAAATACGTAAATATTTGAAATCCAGATTCTACCATCCATGAATTTCGAAAGTAATTTCACAAATAGTCGGGGAGTATATATGGTGTCATATTACCTATCTGTCTATGTTTTTGTTTCTATATTTGTTACAAGCTTGGTGACTTTTTCAAAAGGTTAAAAACAGAAAATGCTTCCGTATTAAAAAAAGGAATCGTAGTTCAACACTTTGCCGATGGGTATATGAAATTATATATGTGTGGATAATCTTCATAAACTTTCTTGACCCCGACCGAGTTATATTTGGCTTTTTGACGGAAGAGCTAGCAATTTGCGGACTCAAATAGGGTATAATTCGTAAAAGGCAACAAGATTTACAAAATCAACTCCGAATTTTGAAGGGTTTTTCTATTCACTACTAGAGTCTTCTAGTTTGAATGATGAAACTAAATGACTTTCTGAGTTTCACTTTTTTTTTTTTTTTTTCTGATACAATGAGTTTCATTTCTCAGCAGGATAGAATGTCATTTTTTTAAAAGGTATTTTTGTCACGAAATTTTAAATAAATGTTTTAACTTTTATGACTGAACGGATAACTGAGTTAAATTAACGATAATATAAGAGTAATTTAAATGTATATTTTTATGTAAATAATGATTATAATGAGTTACATTAGTCATTATAACGTGCTATAATAACTTTAATAGTATGTTAAAAGATTAATTGAAATGAAGGTTATATGCCTTTTTATCATTTCCACAGGTATACGTATTTTTGTGTGAGAAACACATGGGAAATTTGGGAAAAAATTGTCATATGCGTTAAAGACATATGTTTATAGATGACACGTGTACTATGTTGGCTAAAAGAAATGTTTAAGTGGAAGAAAACCATATGTTCTTTGGGCACAAGTTAAAAAATTAATCTCCATCTCCAAAAAGTTAAAAAATTAATAACAGTCAAATCATGGGGCAACATATATGGATGACTCATTACTGACATATCGTTTTTTTTTTGCCTCCCTTTGATTGAGTAGGTCTTTATTAGGGAGATTTCCAATATTTATCTTTTTGAGTTTAAAATGTAATTTAATTACTAAATGGTTTACTTGTATTATAATTGGAGTCAGGGAGGAGGTATTGTTTGTGCTTTATGTTCGTCTAACTAATATTTTATCTAATTATTTACCAAAAAATATTTTGTTATTAAATTTCAGCATAGGAAGTTCACTCCCTGATGCAGAAGAAAAATAAAAATATCGTAGATCCAAAAGCAGGTTCAATTATTTACTAAAAAAAAAAAAGCAGGTTTAATTAATATCAATATTGACAGAGAAAGATCGCAAAGACGCAAATGGGAGCTATGTTGCATTTCACAAAAAGGAATGTAATAAATAAACAACTAATGAGAGTTAATTATTTATTAAACTCAATGCATATAATCAGGAAGAAAAAACAAGCAAACTTTCCCGCGGGTGGTGTTAAATGCGCGTGTCCCATTGCATTTGCATTTGCATTTTGCATATCGCTGCTCGTTCACAGGCACAGCGAGACAACGCCACTTCCCAATAAAAACAGAGAAACTTTCCCGCGACCGTCAAGACAGACGCCGTTACGTGCCCCATACATCTCCCAACGCGAAGTTAACGCCGTTTGTGCTACCCCTTTTGTGACCGTGGAGCCGCCTTTATTTATGAAACGAGAGATGGGTGTTTTTTGCGTTTCCCTATCCCTGGCAGGCAAACGGGTTCACCGGTTTTAGCCGGTGGAACAGGGAGGGACCACCGGTAAAAGCCGGTTGCAGAGACTGGTTAATAATTGACCGCGGTTGAAATTATTGCACGCTGTTTTGACCACTCTGGTTAAGTCTTCCCCTCCGACACTCGTTTCTGTTGCTGCAACCATTTCTCAGCTGAGAGAGAAAATAAAAATAAAAATAGAGATAGAGAGAGAAAGAGAGAGACATAGAGTGGTCGAGGTTTGAGAATTTCGTTTTCGGATCCGAGGTTGCGTTGCTTGAGTTGATTCTGGACCTTTGAGAATCAGTGAAGGAAACGAAGGTTTTTGCGATGTCAAAGATACCGAGGTAATTTACATACAGAGAGAGAGAGATCTGCGACGAACAGAAGAGGAAAAAAATGGCATCATCAGAGGTATCGATTAAGGGGAATTCCGTGAACGGAAAAGGAGAAAGCTATTCTTGTGTTTATAACAACAACAACAACAACAACAACGATGCGGCAGAGGGTCAAGATGCTTCTGCATCTTCAGCTGCGAGAGGTAACTATGGCTCAGTTAGTTTTTGGTTTCTGGAATATGTGGAGTGATGAGGGTGTTGATAATGGATTTTTTGGTTTGGTTTGGTTTCACAGACGCGGAAGTTGCACTTTACAGGGAGCTATGGCATGCGTGTGCGGGTCCCCTTGTGACGGTGCCAAGAGAAGGAGAGCTCGTGTTCTATTTTCCTCAGGGGCATATTGAGCAGGTAATTCTACCTTACCTTGTTTCTAACGCTGAGTCGTGGTTTGGTTTTTGTTACTAATAATCTGGTTGAGGTTTTGAGTCAGAGCTTAGATGCGTCACAACGCGCCCATATTTCCAGAGTTTCGCTTCTGGGTTCTGGCTCTGCCCCCTTTCTTGCTTCTTGGCACTCGACTTAGGCCTCTACAGTGGAATTTAATGAATATTTTTTTTTTAATTTTTTTTATTGGTTGATGTTTGTAAACATTAGGTGGAGGCATCGACGAATCAGTTAGCGGAGCAGCATATGCCCGTATACAATCTCCCACCTAAGATCCTTTGTCGGGTCATCAACGTGATGCTGAAGGTAGTGTTGCCTCCATCTCTGCCCATTTTCTTTTATAAATTTCTAGGTTTTCGAACCAAGTTGGTTTATAATATTATGATTGAACTCTGGTTGGTCATAGCGGTTAATTATTCCTTTTTTTTTTTTTAAACATTTTCTGTCAAAATCTTTCAGGCGGAGCCTGATACCGATGAGGTGTTTGCTCAAGTGACTTTACTTCCAGAGCCAAATGTAAGTATTCAAGTTGTTGTTTTTAGCCTCATGACTCAGAGTATGAGTAACAAGGTGATACTTATTATTATTATTATTTTTTTGTTTTGGGAATTTGGATCTTATGATAGCAAGATGAGAATGCTGTGGGAAAAGTGCCTCCGCTGGCTCCTCCCCCACGATTTAATGTTCATTCTTTTTGCAAAACACTGACTGCGTCAGATACTAGTACCCATGGTGGGTTTTCAGTGTTGAGACGACATGCGGATGAATGCCTTCCTCCACTGGTTTGGTTCTTGTTGCCTTTTCCTCTTCCTTGTCTTTCGTTTATGTTTAGCCGCAGCTGAAGTTGGAGGAGTCTTTCTCTGTTGTTTTTTCGTTAACAGGACATGTCAAAGCAGCCACCTACCCAGGAATTGGCGGCCAAGGATCTGCATGGTACTGAGTGGCGATTCCGGCATATATTTCGCGGTAATTACTAACCAATCATTTGTCTCGAAGTTGTGTGATATGTGTTACAGGAATTTTTTTTTCCTTTCATATTATATATTCTTGTGTTTTTTCCTTCGGCTGTGACTCACGAGTGAAGTAAATTCCAGGTCAACCACGTAGACACTTGCTGCAAAGCGGTTGGAGCATTTTTGTCAGCTCCAAGAGGCTTGTTGCTGGGGATGCATTTATATTTATAAGGTTTGTTAATTCATGAACAGGGTTTTTTTATTTCACTGGTTTATTACTTTCTGTATTCTATTTGGTATCTGACTAACAGAGGAACTTTCAGAGGTGAGAATGGGGAACTTCGAGTTGGTGTCAGGCGTGCAATGAGACAGCAGGGTAATGTTCCATCATCGGTTATCTCAAGCCACAGCATGCATCTTGGTGTCCTTGCAACTGCTTGGCATGCCATCATGACCGGGACCATGTTCACTGTTTATTATAAGCCCAGGTTTGTAACTTGTTCTTGAAACTGTGTCTCTTGAACCTGTTATCTTGGTAATTTCAGTCTGTGACTTCCTGTTATCATGTATTGATGTGTGGGTGGGTGGGGGTACCTGCTCAACGAATGGTTGATTTGAGTGTTGCTTTCTTATTGAATCTCCAGTGCAGGATTTACAGCAATCTTGTCAATATTATTTTGCAGGACCAGTCCAGCTGAATTTATCGTTCCTTATGATCAATACATGGAGTCTCTAAAAACTAATTATACCATAGGGATGCGATTCAAAATGAGGTTCGAAGGTGAAGAGGCCCCTGAGCAAAGGTATGAATGGGTAATGCTGTCTTTTTCTCTGATTAATTTTTAATGGTTTTTCTTATCTTTTCCATCTATTGGTTGGCTATGTAATGTGGCAGTGTTGTATTATTATTACACGTACAATTTGAACGAGGAAGACATTCTTTGACCTGGCATGCTAAATTTTCAGGTTTACTGGTACCATTATCGGAATGGAAGATGCTGACTCCAAAAGGTGGCCAAAATCCAATTGGAGAAGTCTCAAGGTTGTATTCTAGTTTTTATGACAGTGTGTATGACTGTTAAGTTAGGCATGTTATAATGGAGTTCCTTGTGTGATGTGTCTCCAGGTTAGATGGGATGAAACATCTAACATACCTCGACCCGAGAGAGTTTCCCCTTGGAAAATAGAGCCAGCTCTTGCTCCCCCTGCTCTAAATCCTCTTCCAATGCCCAGGCCTAAAAGGCCTCGGGCTAATGCAGTCCCATCATCCCCAGATTCTTCTGTTCTTACTCGAGAAGGTATGGTTAAGTGGCTCTGGATATTTTATTTTCTAAGAGATTCGTATTTGCAAAATATTTTTGGGTTTGTGAAGCCTGATATGTTTTTGGTGATTAACAGTATCATCTAAAGTAAGCATAGACCCTTTGCCAACAAGTGGGTTTCCAAGGGTCTTGCAAGGTCAAGAATTATCGACCTTGAGAGGAAATTTTGCAGAAGGCAACGAGTCTGATACTGGAGAGAAATCTGTTGTGTGGCCACCTGCAACAGATGATGAAAAGATAGATGTTTCTATTTCAAGAAGGTATGGATCAGAGAGCTGGATGTCAATGGGGAGGCATGAGCCTACATATTCTGATCTCCTCTCAGGCTTTGGGGGCCATGGAGATCATTCTTCCCATCCATCCTTTGTTGATCAAAGTGGTCCTGTAGCTAACCCTGGTAGGAAACATTTGTTGGATCGTGATGGAAAACTTAATGTACTAGGTAGTCCGTGGCCTGTAATGCCACCTAGCCTACCACTCAATCTTTTGGACTCCAATATAAAAGGTTCTGCACAAGGCAGTGATACAACCTATCAAGTTCGAGGGAATTTGAGGTATAGTGCATTTGGTGAATACCCTGTGCTTCATGGACATAAAGTTGGGCAACCACTTGGAAACTTGTTGATGCCACCACCGCCCCCAACCCAATATGAGAGTCCTCATTCAAGGGAACTGTTGCCCAAACCAATATCAGCAAAAACTTGTGAGGTTGCAAAACCAAAAGATGGTGACTGTAAGATATTCGGCATCTCACTTCTTAGTTGCCCCATTGCACCAGAGATATCACACAGAAATGTTGCAAGTGAACCAGTTGGTCACATGCATCGTACATCACACCAACATCGAACATTTGAAAATGATCAGAAGTCTGAACATTCAAGGGGCTCAAAACCGGTAGATGGTCTAGTTGCAGTTGATGACCATGAGAAGCTGTTACAAACCACTCCACCACATCTGAAAGATGTTCAACTCAAACCTCATAGTGGTTCTGCTAGAAGTTGCACTAAAGTAAGTCTCTTTAATGTTAGTTTTTGGTCAAAATAACAGCTTGAACTTTGCTGTGAAAATTAATCAAATGCTGTTCATTTCAGGTGCACAAGAAGGGGATTGCGCTTGGTAGGTCAGTGGACCTTACGAAGTTCAGTGACTATGATGAATTAATTGCTGAATTGGATCAGCTGTTTGGCTTTGGAGGTGAATTAATTTCTCCACAAAAAGAATGGCTTATTGTCTACACTGACAATGAGGGTGACATGATGCTTGTTGGTGATGATCCGTGGCAGTAAGGATCTCTATTTAGCTCTACATCCTTTGATTAGCCTGTTAAATTGAAATGTATTTTTTCTTGAGAATGGTACTTAATTTGCATAATATTTAATTCAGGGAGTTTTGTGCCATGGTCCGCAAAATTTATATCTACCCTAAAGAGGAGATTCAGAAAATGAGCCCGGGTACCTTAAGTTCAAAAAACGAAGAGAATCAATCAGCTAGTGAAGGTGTAGATGCACAAGAGATTAAATGCCAGCTGCATCATTCAGCTTCAGACTCCTGATAATTCGTAGATTTGATCTTCATAGCTACCAGGTGACTTTACTTCCTCGTTCAAGGTGTTCCAGATGATGTTGCCCGTTTAATTTTGTTGCTATATATGAATTTTGAATCCAGTTTCGTAGAAGAATCTCGTAGTATAACGTTGTTTTGTTTTGATCCAGATTCCGGACTGTAGTGGAAAGGAGTAGGGACCTATCATAAAGCCATCCATCCAGTTGGAGATTATGACCTGAAGAAGAAAATTCTAATTCTGAATCTGACTGCTTATCAAGGAACTGTTTGTTTGGAATCAGTATATGGATGGCATGAATGAGTATCCATCAAATTTTGGACAGCGTTGTAGAATCAGTAGTACAAGTATATATATCTTCCCAGTTATACATTCTTAGTATAGTACACTCATAGAATAGTATGTATGCCTTGAGCGAAGTGATAAGGGTTGATATTTTGGCCTTCTGCATTTTTCGACAATCTTACCGTGTAAATAGTTACTATCCCATCCGCAGAACCCTGATGCACAGGCGTGAAAATAAAGGAAAAATTTAGTTATTTTATCTTGCAAAATGCAAAGTGATATTCACAGTAGTTTCCAAGAGTTCTCCGTACTAAAGCACAAATTAGCACTAATATCAGATAAATTGCTCGTGAACTTAGTTACATTAATGGGTTGGAGTTCTAAAGCCCTTTGAATTCCAACTTAATAATATAATAATAATTAAGTTCATGAACAAGACCAATTTATCTAGTTTTAAATTGTTTTTTTTTTTTTTTTTAGTGCTAATACTCATGGAATTTACTTGAGATATGTATATGCATTTTGCAAGATGTAATAATTCTGCCTTTAATTTCCCGATTGTGCAATTAGGGTTCGGCTATTGAAGTGGTTACGGTCGTATCATGTGGACGCAGGGTTTCCGCGTGGGCGGCGTAGAATAGATGAAGTCATATCACGAGAAGTTAGTGGACACTTGGGTCTGAAAGATTTGAAATTTCTCAGTGAATTGCATTCGTGGTTAATGGCACTAGTAGAGTAGTAGTTGTGTTGTGGTCCTTCCCTCCGTGTGATATTTGTAGCGGGGTTACGTGCTAAAGCTTCGTTCTGATTTCTGAGAAAGCACCATCTTTGAATGGCCAATTGTATTTTTTGATAAATTAAAAGTACTTTCAACCACCAAACCATACAAATATAAGAGCACGTTGTGGACCTCATTACTTCCAGGGTTCTGTCCCTATTGTCTAACTAGCTTTGGCCCACGGAATTCATTATTTATTTAGATTAAAAGTAGGGTCCAGTGGGGACATTGGTTGGCTTAACCTTTAATTTTTTTGCCGTAGATGCATGATACCCCGTCTCTCCTAGCCTCTTCAGAAGCCAGCAATTTCCAGTTCTAGCGAGTAAAAACATTTTTTTTTATCTCTTTTTGTTAAGGAGGAAAAAAGAGAGAGAAATCAGTTGCTTAAAAGCTTTGTCCCAGGTGATTGTTTGATGAGGACCATGAAATTTCACAAATAATCTTTGATATCAAAATGCATCATTAGAATGTTGCTAAACTAGAGGACCATGAAATTTCACAAATAAGTTTGATATCAAAATGCATCTATAGAATGTTGCTAAACTAAGTGGAGACCATCAGAAACTTTTCGTTTCAACATGAAAATGCAAAAGTTGCTAAACAGTTGTAGACAGTAGTGCTTTTAATTGGTAAAATGCATGTGGAAATTTTTCTCAATTCAACTAAAGCGGAAGTTAACAGATCCAGTATCGTACACTTGAATTGTTGGGCATCAAAACCCGATTAAAATTGCTAATTGGATTTGGGAGCAAGCAGTTTGTTTCTTCCAAAAAAACTAGGTCATGTTATGGAAGCCAGCTGAATCCAATAGTACTGCTTTGATTTGCTCCGGATAGATATCCTGACCTTCTTTGCATTGCTGAAAAAGAGGAAAGGTTAGAACTCGCATTAAAAAAATAAATAAATGAAAATTTAACCCCCTCTTAATTGACAGTCATGATTTTTAATTCCTATGTATTTCAATACAAATCGTAATAGAATATCATTGACTTTACAATGCTACATGATGGTTATCATACCAAGTTCGTTGCAATAAATTGATGTTTAAGGAGTTTCCGCGTGAAAGCCATTGCTATATGACTTGGATAAACCTTTTTTTTTTTTTTTAAAAAAAGTACTTTTATCATGTATTTTATTTTTTAAAAAGCTACTCAATTTTTTGTTTTGTAGGGTGTTCCTATTCATTTGGATGATATCAATTCCCTTTATGTTATAGAACGCAAATATTTTTGCTACTAGCCCAAGGTGCTTTGACTAGGAATCGAAGAAAATAAAACTTTTTCTTGGATTTTTTTTTAATTAAAAAAAACTTTTCCCTTTTTAAAAAATAAACAAAAGACTCTATCTCTTCTCGTGTAAAAGTATAAATCCCCCGAACAAATGGAATACAAAGTTCACTTTTAATAAACAGGTTTCAAACTGTATGAATTAGGAAAATATCAATTGACCTATTGGGCTTGATGCACATGGTTTATTTCAAATTGGTTACAGAATTAATTTTTTTACCTCAGCTCGAAAAATATCCATAGCAAATCCATTGAAATAGCTGATAACAGCCTGCTGGATCTCTAACCCAAGGTTATCCAAAGCCCTCATCGTTGACAGCAACAAACCCGGTTTGCGGCTACAAAACATGTGGATGTCCACAGCTCTTCCTTCCCGCAACCGAACCTCAACCTATATATATGGCCCAAAACAAAACAAATAAAAACAAAAACAAAAACAAAAACAATTAATTGCATGTTTGCATTAAGAAAAGTTCATCTTAAATCAGACTAATAAATAGTAACAATATAGAATGCTTGGCTGTGATGTGAGGCTAGTGCTAAACCAAGATTAATAAATCTAAACTTGCCATTCCAAGAACAAGCAAAAGTTCACTTCCTCATTAAAAGCACACAGGAGAAATATGAATGGCAAGTAAGAAAACGATGTCGACTAATATATATATATGCTATCTATAATAGGCAAAAAGGATTAACTTCCAGAAATGGAGAAGCAATAATATTACCCTGGCAGGTTGGCCATTTGGGCTTGGCAATGAGCTTGTGTAAAGTTCTTCTTTCATACGACCTGGTAGCGTAGATAGAGTAGTTGGTGTCAAAGGATGCAAGCTCGAAGCTGGTGTCACTGAAGAGCCAGCTGGTGTTGACTCCAATTCGTTGTGAAGGTCACTGATCCTCTGCATAAGTTCCTTCAAATACTCAATTGCATCCCCAAGGATTGAAGCCCTGTCCATCTTTCAAACCAAACTTGTCATATAGCTAATCCCACAAAAGCCCCAAATGCTTTAAAACACTTTTATGGTTGGAGTTGGACACATATATAGATCTAATTATTGTTGAATTATATATGAGTCATGTATATATGGTCTAAGACTTGAAGAAAAGTAATTTAACTTAACCACAATTCACATATATGAATATAAAAAGAGGTGGCTAGGCTATAATATAAGAAAGTGTTACTTACTTTGCTAATATTTGGAACAATGGATCTCAGCATATAGAGTCTATCATTGAGCTTCTTCCTTCTGCGGCGTTCGGCCATTAAATTCTTAGCTGGTATTCCCTTCTTCTTCCCTTTCTGATCCCCTCCTGTGATTGTGCTGTTTCCACCAATATTCTTATTGTTATCACTTTCATCATTATTCATCTCATCAGAATCATAATTTAATCCCGAACCATCAAAACTTCCATCTTCTACATCTTCTCCATAACTCCTCTTCCTTTTCTTATCATTCCTTTCCTCTGTCAAGTTTTTACGAAATGCTGCTCTCTTCTGAAAAAGAGTTGGCCTTGCACCCGATGGAGGCAACGATTCGAGGGGTCTCAGTATCTTTCCAGAAGAACCCTCCTCAAAGTTGTTGAAACCAGAAAAACCAACACTGTTTTGTGGCATTAAATGGTTATTTGAGCTTAAGTTACTGAAGGCACACGAGAAGCCAGCACCTTGGTTCATAACTTTGGAAGTAGTAACAGTAGTAGTAGTAGTAGTAGTAGAAGATTGAGGGTCTAGAAACCCAACCTCGCAACCCATGTCAAAGCCATGCGTGGTAGGGATCATGGTACTAAGAAGAGAAGAAAAGTTGCTGAACAGAGTGGAAGAGGAAGAATCCAATGTGGGGAGCAATAGATTAAGATTATCTGAGTCAGCAGCAAAGTTGGAAGAGAAGGCCATATTGTTGTCTTTAATATATGGGTGATTTTGGGTATTGTTATTGGCCACGCACCATTCTTCATTGAACTCAAGCATGGGTTTGAAAGCACACGCTGACACACAGCTCAATTCGTCAGTGTTGATGTTGGGGTTTGAGTTTGTAGCAAATGAAGCTGAAACCGAGTCTTGTTCTTCTCTGTCTTGTACCCAAGCAACGCCATTTGCTCCATACATCATTTTTTTTTTTTTTTTTAAATATATTCTCCTCTGCTCTGACAACAGCTTCTGGTTTTGCTTAGGGTAGAGAAGAACAAGACAAGCACGCAAATTGTTGGTTGAGAAAGTAGATATAACTATGAGCAAAAGAGAGAACGTTGCAGAAGGAAAAGGGCATTAATATTGGCTTTATTTGAACCACGTTTTTGGGAGGATTGCGACAAGCAAAACTTAAATACAGCTGCAAACACATTACGAGAATAAATATATAGATATGAACACCAGCCGTTAGATCAACTGGTCATTGATGGTTTCAGCTTAACAAGTGCTTTCAAATTGGTTTCAGCTTAACAAGTGCTTTCAAATTTAAGCAAATGTACTAAAATATTAAGGGTTTGTTTCAGTAAATTTAAATAAGTATTTTCAAATTTTGAGTAAATGTACTAAAACCTTATAGGATTTATTTTTATCCGTATTGATCTCAAAATGATATTATTTTGGGTGAAAATTAATATATTTTTGTAATTATAATTTATTTCAAAATTATAATAGTCAATATCATTATATTTTTTTAATTTTTCAACTCAAAATGACATCGTTTTGAAAGTGAATAACTTATTTACATTTATTATAGAAATATTAAAATCAATCTTAAATATAATTGTGTTAAAATTTGTTAAGTAGAGCTTTGTTACTCACGTGATCATATCCACTCGAATCAAACTAACTAAGCAATCGATACACCGATAAACATTATTATTAGAAAAAAATCTTAATCTGAAAGGTTGCTCAACTTGAACCGAATTATTTACATAATCTATAAACTACTAGAGAAATATATATATATATATATATATATATATAAAAGGATAAGTATGCTTTGATTCCCCACTCATAGTCATACCTCCCTCTTTACCACTATGCCGTCAGCATAAACTTATTGGCTAATTTTTCAAATTGGCTGCGAAGTTTCTCCCCACAAGTATCGTTTCGTTAGCACGGAGAAATGAATAGTTATGTTTCCTACTGAAGGGGTTGCAATTCAGTGCAAAAGCGTGACTTTTGTCGGATGAAATTATTCTCATATTTAAAATGATAGAATTTTTTATTGTTTTAAATATTATAATTAACTCCTTTGTATTTTATTACTTGATGATAAAATTTTTTATTATTGTACGTAAAAGACATTAGATTAATTAATTTCACCGTGTAACTAACTAATCATTTGTATTTCTCTTACAACCTTCTTTAAGATATGATCAATTGACAATTTTGAAAATATCATTTGTACGTAAATAACAAAACCACTAAATATTTACGTGTAATATTTAGTATGAGATTGAGATCATATGAGATCAGAGAAAAGGAAGAAAATTCGTCACTGAGATTTCGGTGTTAAACAACCCAAGTTTCTCATTCACACACAGATAGAAATCGGTGTTTTATTATTTAGGAAAATAAATAATTTAGTATTTCATGGATGCAAAATTGTTTAGAGCAAACATATATTAGTTTCCAAAGATATATTACATATATGTACTATTAATTTAGTCTTTAAAAATTAATATTAACTTATATTTCAATCATAAAAATTGACGTACGTTAATGTAGTTCTTAAATTTAAAATCCCATTAAGGTTTTTTTTACAATTTATATACATAATTTAAACGATTTTAATGTCGCTTTTCATTATTAAAAAAATATTCTTGATGTAAATCTTTACATAGATGACCAAAGTAATGTCATTTATATATTTAAATGAAATAAATAATGAGTACGTGTTTAATTTGTTGTCTATTTCGACATAAAAAAAAAAGTGCTGCTTTTATTTCATTCTCAATCAGTATTAGGAAGATGGTAGAAAACCCGAAAGAAGCCTCAGATAACAGTGTCAATCTCAAGTATCTCGTGAAGCCTTTCCTTGTCAGTTGTCACCAAAGTTATTACACAATCTAATCTAAACCATAACACTTCGCATCTCTCCACCACACTATGGGACACTCATCTATCTCTCTTTATTATTCGTTTTTACTTTACTTCCCAATCTTTTTATTAAGCCCCATCCATCAGCATCTATCAACTTTTATTTTCAGATTTTAAATTTATTAATTATGAAGAAAGGCAATTACTTTCCTTTAATCTTTTTATTTTTATTTTTTGGCGGACGGTGAAAAATTTCAAAATTATATATACATCACAGACAATAAATATAACCAGATCCTGTCAACCTATTTGGCCCACTGAAACTAAATATGAATGAAGATTGAGTGAACATTTATTAAAGTTTCAAAAAAGTATAGTCATTCATCTAACTACATTTATTTTATCATGTTCAGGGAAACGCGTTTGAACAAATAGAATTTTAAAAATATCATAAGATATGCCCTATACGTTTAGAAAGCGGAGGAGAGGGACAAGAATTTTAAATAGGTTTGCATTCAGGGCACTGTACTGTGGGTATGGTAAAGGAAAGATACTCTAATTTATTATTTCTCTACTAACCTCGTGAGCATGGGACATAGAACTTTAATTTGCCTTTGTTTTGTAGGGTATGCCATACCACATTTTCTATCTAGAACGACTTGTCCAGTGAATAGTGATGTATCTAAAGTCTTAAATTGTGCTGTGGCAGCTGAAGATGTTGTCCTCAATTCTCAAGAGTGTTCATTCTGCTGTTAGCTCAACAATTTGATATTGTAAATCCCACAAGGTTTACTCCATAAAATTTTTTAGGTGGATATTATTTCTCGTAAATACTTAAATTAATAATTGAGATGTAAAAAATTAATTTTCAGATATAAATATATTTTTAACTATTTTTTTTTTGAAATATTGATATAAATAAATTTTAAAATTAATTAAAAAGTGTGGATAGACAATAAAAGAGATAAATGTAGATGTTTTACTTATATATTATTATTTTAGAACTACTTTTTAGATATTATTTTTTGGTTAAATTTATTTAAGCCGTTTTACTTGTACTTTAGCATATTTTCCTTTTTATTATGCTAAATCTTAGAACTTATTCGTAACCAAAAATAAAAAGGAAAAAAAAACTTACGAAGTTACGCAATTTTTTTTTTTTTTTTTGGGTATGCTGAGGAAAAATCCAGCACAAAACTACAAAACAGTCACTGTTCGAGCTCTACAAACAGAGACTAAATCAGCAATAAAAACAGATTGAATCTGCAAAGGGGGAAAAACAAAGCTAGACATATCAGGAGCAATAGTATTGTCCAGAGGATAATTCGCCAGCCAGTCAGCAATATAATTTCCTTCTCTATAAGTGTGGACAAGCTGAATATGCCAATCCTTTTGGAAACCAAGCCCGTATGCGAGTCACCAAGTGGGACTCACGGGCTGCAGCACCCCTTCTAGAGAGAATGGTGACTGCAGATGTTGAATCAGATTCAACAATTAAATTTTTCCAGCCTGCCTCCCAAGCCATCTCCAAACCTTTAAGAATACCCCACAATTCAGCATTGAGAGCATTGCAATTCCCGATCCTGTAAGAGAAGCCTTTGAGCCAATGACCCTCATGATTTCGAGCAATACCACCACATGCTGCTAAGTTTTGAGCTCTCCTAGCAGCTCCATCAGTATTGAGCTTAACCCAATTCTCTTCTAGTGGTTTCCAGCTAATGAAAATTTCAGTTCTGGGCTACACTAATCTATTACAGGAAGCAGAACGAAAAGCCAACTTGTACTCTTCAGCTGTACTAATAACCGAATTCTTCTTATAGAAAAGATAAGAAATAGAATTTCCAAAGACTAAATTATTTCTCCATTTCCAAGCCAGCCAGCATGTAGTGCCAAACACCATGGTAAATTATTTGTAAACTTGTCCATACAATATAATTTTTTTTCCAGCCAACCATGAAGATCATCGGAAAAAAAAAAATATGCAAACTAATTGAAACTAATTCAGCCTAAAGCACTTTCATTTTCACACAGTCCCTAAGCAAATGTAATGATGTTTCGGCCTCACCATGACAGATTGGACACTAGGGTTGACCTAATTCAAAAGAACTCAACCTAGCTTTTGTTGTCAGTCTGTTATGAAGGACCTTCCACAAAAATAAACGGATTACTTGAGGACCCTCCCAACTCCAAACCTTTTTCCAGATTTCGGTATTACTAGGAGTTTCAGAATTATTACTTGTAAGAGCTTGATAAATGGATTTTACTGAAATTCGATCTGAATGGTCTAAGATCCAACACAAATAATCCTCTCCATCTTGTTCATTAGGAGGTAATATGCTCCTAATTGACAACACAATATGAGAAGGCAACCACCGAGTGAGAGAATGAGTATCCTGGTTACCTTGATCATCAACATAATCAATAAGCTTCTTATTGCTTTCCTCCCATGGAATTGGAACTGTAGACAAGTCCATAAGCCTATGACCATCATGTGTCCATTTATCTTTCCAAAAAGAAATCGCTGTACCATTCCCAATCTCCCATTTAAGGTGATTTTCCAAATTCTTCTAGATTGAGCATATGTAATTCCACAATCTAGAATCACCATTTTTGCAGCTAAACAAGGAACTTCCTCGATTCTGGCTCTTATACTTATTCCTAATAACTTGAACCCAAAATTTATCCGGATGAGTAAAAATCTCACAAGCAAGCTTCCCTACAAAAACATCATTCATGGCTACTAACTGCTTAAAGCCCAAACCTCCAGCAGCTTTCGGCTTTGTAATAGTCTCCCAGCTCACAAGATGCATCTTTCTCCTCTCCTTTGTGTCTCCCCATATGAATCCTCTTTGTAACTTTTCAATTGCATGACAGATTGATCTAGGGATTTTATCACACTGCATTTGGAAGAAGGGAATAGCTTGAAGAACAGATTGGACAAGGGTGATCCTACCCGCTTGAGAAAGGCACTTTGATTGCCAACCATTCAACTTATTTTGAACCTTTTCAACAATATTAGCATATGCATCCTTAGACACCCTGCCATGTTTCATCCACACACCCAGATGCCTCCCTACATTTTTCACCCTCTTAAAACCACAAACATTGGAGATCTCAGTAGCTACATCATATGGAGTATTTTTGGAAAAGAAAATACTAGTCTTTTGTTTATTGACTCTTTCTCCCGAGATATCACCAAACAGCTGCAAACACTTAAGAATAATTTGGATTTGATCCACAGAGGCTTCAGCAAAAAGCATTAAGTCATCGGCAAACATCAAGTGGGAAATAGCAGGTCCACCCTTTCCAGCATGGATTGGCTTCCAGAGGTTACCCTGAACTGCAGTGTTGATAATATGGCTGAGTTTTTCCATTGCAATAACAAAAACATACGGGGAGAGATGATCACCTTGTCGGACCCCTCTAGAAGGCTGAAATTCCTTAGACATCCCTCAATTCAAGAGGACATTGAAACTTGTAGTAGAGATTGCAGCTATAATAATCCTAACTAACTTATCTGGGAATTGCACCTCCTGAAGAGTCTTTTGAATAAAGTCCCAATTCAATCTGTCATAAGCTTTTTCTAGATCCACCTTGATAGCCATGAAATAAAATAGGGAAATGGCAAACTTTTACCAGAGTAATCTGTGCAGAAGAGAAGTTATTTTATATATTGTGTTCATCTAAATAAATTAAAAATATTTTGCAATTTTTTTATTCAGTTACTAAAATGTATATATATATATATAGGCTATATTGCACCGACACCGACACGGGACACAGGATACGATACGATACGATACGACACTCCGACATGTTAATTCTAAAAAATGTTAAATTTTGACACGTTAGGACACATTTTGATATTATATAATATTTTTAATTTATGTAGTGTATATTATATTTAATATTCAATAATTTAACAAAAAAATAAAGCTAAACTTATAATACCCATCAATTTTGCAAAGAAACATAAGATAACTCAAATGTCTATATTAAACTCAATAAAATAGTAATCATAATACAACAAATCTAATAGTTGGAACTCAAAATACAACGCAATGTAACCTTTGAACCTCTTTTGAGTCTTTGCAACGAGTATTGGAGTGTCGAACACGATACGTCAATGATTTTGAAGTGTCAGTGCTTCATAGTACGTAGGCTTAATTCTTCAATTCCAATGAAAACAATAAAAATTAAAAAAATATTCCCTTACATAATTACCCTCAATAGAAGAAGGGAACAATTTAAAAAGAATAAGACATCATGTATTTTGTTTTTTAATTGACAAAATTTCGACCATTATGTTTTTTCTTTCTTGGGATCTAATTCAAATTTCGACCAACGCCCATAATAAAGAATCCGTGTCGTTGTTTTGAACAACTAACAGTGTAGGGCCCAGTTATTCAAGGCTAGCTCTGTAACCCACTTTTTCTTTGGGCCATTCAAAGCCCACTTTGATTGATTCTTATTTTCTGTTAAAGTCCTCTCGACACAAATTACAATGATCCTTGCACGTTGACAAAAGCCCATAGTTTTTAGAAAGAAATACTTAAAACTGATACAAGAAATAATAAATAAGAATATTGAGAACAAATATATAGTTTGACACGCAGCTCAACTTGATTCTTCTCCCCCGTTTTATTGTTGTTGTTTTTCTTTGTGTGGTTCTGAACAAATTGAACTCGACTAGCATGATCAAATCGATCCCTTGGCCCTCTATGATCAAATCTACAAAATCTCAATTTCATGTTACTTTTAGTATAAAGAAATAAATATCATTCGACATATCATTATAGAATTAGATTATTCTTTTTTTCTTTGGTGGAAAAAAGAGAGTGACATTCTTATCTTAAATTTCATCACACAAATTTATAGAATCACATTTTCCTGAAAATAAAAATAAAAATTAAGATTGTGATTTCATATTTTTGTTAGAAGAGGGCTCAGTGTTCTTTTTCTAATATACCCTTATTTTAATTTATAATATTACAGATATAACCTTATTTATAATTTATACAAATATTCCTATTCTCCACCTCACTTATTTACCCATATCATAAAACACAATGCCTTAATTTTAACATATTAGTTATAATGAACAATATTTGAAAAAAATGTAATAAAAATGATTTATTAATTAATTTATAGAAAAGTAATCTTAAATATTTTCCTTAAAAAATAAACATTTGTATTGTGCATAAAATATCAACATCAACATCAAAAACACCTTTATCAAAATTCATATTTTTCAAAATTGTGATCTTTCTTGCCAAATAAGTGTTTTAACATATTCTTGCATGTCCCTAGTATGCTCGAAAAATAGTTTTACAGCAAACAAGAGATTTTCACCATGAAATTCTTAGAGCCATCTATCCACGTGCATGAAAGAAAGTTTAAAATCATCAACCAAAATCTGTCAAGATAGTTTCATGCAGCACCCACATTCATCCATCCTACATTCTATGCATGTCCTCAAAACTGAATTTCCATGGATAGAAGTAGGAGTGTCTATCTACTAGTTACTTACTTGTTGGAGCTTCTTCAATTTAATTACAACTTGAGCTTCTTTTGATTTTCCGTTTTGACTTCCCCTTACAGCTTTGATAGCAGCCAATTCAGGTTCTGTCCTTGTCTCCCTTCCACGTCCTTGAATTCTTGAACCTTTCAATGTCTTCTTATATGCAAGAGCAGATGAAGGTGTGAATATTCTGTTCTTGCTTGAAGAATGAAGGTTGGTTGAATTGTGATACTAATGGAGGGTGGGAGACGTGGTGAAGTGAGGTTGGAGTGTTCTGTGGACTTAAATTGAGAGGGAGGAAAGGTGACGCGATGAGGAAAGAGTTCTAAAAATGGGAGAGTGGTTTAAAAAAAAAAAAAAGAAATAGTTGTCTTATGTCACATAATACAACTATATTATAGTGCACGCTCATGAAATTTTGTACTCATTTTTTTCTTTTTCTTTTTAAAAGTTATGGGTCCCACAGCTTTGTTTCACCCGCATAAAATAAATATGTGACATAAGATTAATAACTCTAAAAAATAAATGATAGGTCGATAGAGTAAAAGCAAGGAAGTGGGAGTATGTGTTCTGCAGGCTTTTTAATTTTTTTAAATTTTTTTTACAACTAATTAATTAAATTAAATTGTGGAAAAATATTTCAAGAAGGAAATTGAATTGGTGTCACATAATTGTTTTTTTATTATTATTAAAAATGCTTTTGGACACTGATTCAAACACAAAATACTTTTTCTTTTTGAAAAAAGGTCTTTCCACAAAAGTAAAGTAATTTTTTTTGGAAAGTACGTACATCTAGACTCGCCATAATAGCAATATTTGTGATTAGAAGCAATTTTACATGGGTTGATCATGTCAAGTGATTTGATGCTGCTTTGAAACTGGTTGGGGGTTGCTCCAGTCAGAATTTGTGCAAACAAGTCTTTCAGAAAATGTTTTTCTTGTGTTCAGCACACTTATATTTATAGTAAGGAGAAGACCAACTATATATGGGGGCTGTACATGCAATTTGCTTGCAAGTGGTGAGGCAACAAAGTTTTATAGTTGATTCCTGCAGGTGGCCTGAATAATTATTGCAGAGGAGTCGCACAATACTGAAATGTAGGGGTTATGTTATATTGCTGAGATGCAGAGCAGCCTTTGTTGACTTTAAGAGAATTGTTTGAGATATTTTTCTTTATGATGAAGGCTTAACAAGTGAGCTTCATATTTATTTCAGATCAATTTTGAGATAGATACAAATCAAGTCATGTGAAATATTAATATGAGAGGTCCATTCCCTCAATTTGAAATGTGTTGGATGAACAAAACCATTCCCTCAATTTGGAATGTGTTTGATGAACAAAACCACATTAAGAATTTGTTTGTGTCACAATTTCAGGGGAAACAAATTATTTGATATGACATGGGATAATATACAAAGATCTCAATCCCAAATATACTTATTACAATTCTAGATAGTCTTTTAAAATTTATAAGATTTTTTATTTCAAAATAGTCTTTCAAAATCCTAATCCAATACATCCTTTTAGGTTCTATATGCAAATTTTAAATTATTTTAACAAATAAAAAAATATGACTCTTATAATTATATATGCATAGCTCTGATACCAAATGAAAAAAATAATTTTCTACGCATTAGTCAAACCCAAAAGTAGGAACAAGAAGATGCTAATGCGTGGAGAACTAGTATAGATATGTGAAGAGCTACTGCTTAATGCGACATCAAGTTACATCAAATTATTGATTGAGAAAAATTATATTTGATTTTACTTTTTTTTTATTAATATCATTGCATTTCTTTGTTATTTTTTTAATTGACTCTTGTAATTTTGAATGTTTGTTAAAAATTCATATTGTTCTTTCAAATCTTATAAATTCTATTAAAATACTCTAAAATTCATTCTTATAAAATTTTGATCGTAAAAAAAAAATCTTTATAGTTACTACAATTCTAGATAGTCTTTAAAATCTATAATTTTTTTCATCTCAAAATAGTTTTTTAAAATCCTAATCCAATACACCCTTCAAAATTAACTGTGATTTTTTTAACCATTTATTTCAATGTGTATTTTTAATCTATATTGCACCGATACTACCACGGGATATGACATGACATTCGACACGTTAATTCTAAAAAATATTAGATTTTGACACGTTTGAACAAAGTTTTGATATTAAATAATATTTTTAATTTATATAGTGTATATTATATTTAATATTTAATAATTTAATAAAAATAAAGTTAAATTTATAATACCCATCAATTTTGAAATGAAACATAATATATCCGAAATATTTATATTAAACTCAATAAAATAGTAATAATAATCAAACAAATCTAATAATTCGAACTAAAAATGTAACATAACACAACCTTTGAACTATTTTTTGAATTTTATAACTCAAAAATATCAAAATATCAAAAAATATAGGATAGACACTTCAATTTTTTTTGAAGTGTTTATACGTCACAATTATCAATCGCCATTAATTTGTAGGACAATAGGCAAAACCAAAGCTAGCTCAAACGAGGTGTTTGATCAGAAACGACACCGTACGAGAGGGTACGCTGAATGCGAGGGCGCCTTTTTTCTACAGACATATATATAAAATGTATGTCTTGTTATTGTTACTCAGTTCAAACCTACGCCTTCTCTCTCTTTCTTCACAAAGGACCTATCCGTTACTTTTTCTTTCTTTGTTTTAATTTTCTGATTTCTTTCTCATCTTCTCAACTTGGTATTCGGTATTCGTGGAATCGAGGGCTTCTGGTGAGTTCATCATTGTATTTATTTACCTTTATTTATCCACTATTGCATTATTATTTTATTTATTTTTATTTTTTGTTTGTGTCATTATGTGGTACTTCAAGAGCTGCTTCAATTAGGTTTAGGAACTAGGTTCTGTGACTTTCATTTTCTTACGTTGTCGGCGTGGTTTTTCCTCCGTTTCTGGTTTGGCGCACCAGGTGTTTGCTCAAATGATTTTTTTTTTTTTTAATTGTCAAGTTAATTTCAATAATTAATATGCTAGTAGTTAATTTAGCTCTCTCTGTGTTGTTTTCCCGAGTGTATATGTGCTTCCAGTGTGTTTGTTAATAGCTAGTTTGTATGCTTTTCCAAGCTCCGAGTTTGTTGTTGTAGATTTCGTTTTTGTCCTTTGCTGCTGGTTGTGTTGATTTGTTAGTCCCGCATTCCGTGACTCTTTTAAGATCTATGTGACTAGGATGTCAAGTTGAGTTTCCTTGTCCAAGTGGATGGATATGCCCTGTTGTTTTCCATTTCCTGCTGATTGATTAACTTTTACTTAGAGGAAAAAGTTGATAGTGTAATTGGGAAGCAGCTCCTTCCTGTTTCAACTTTATGAACTGTAATTTCTTGTTATGAAATTGTACAATGATGCGTCTGTTAAATCTTCTGTGTAATATAATGAAACTTTTTTTTTGGGGAGGGGTTGAGGGGTCAGAAAGCTAGTACATATGCGTGCCTTTTCTACCCTTCAATCATCTTAAGGAAACTAAGATATGGGCAGTTATATATGCTCTTATATACCGTTAGGGCATCACGGTACTTTGAGGTTTATAGTTTTTATGATTTTCTTCCTTAGCATGTATATCTTTGTTATTCATAATATGATGTTCTCAAATAGTGAACAGGGGAAGAGTTAATTTGATAACTGGCTTCGGTTACATTAGGTTTTTTTTTTTTTTTTTTTAAAACTTATTTGCGTGAAACTTTTTAGCTTATTGTGATCTGAGTACAGTTTCTAGTTCTTTCCAATGTTCATTTTTTGGTAGGATCTTATACTTACAGCTTGCAGTTTAGTATCATAATTTTGGCTGCTTGACGTGCCCAAAGATGAAACATACATATTTGGTTATCTGAGTGCATTCTGTTATTTCAAGCGTGTAATTTGTCAACTAATATGCTTCATCAATGAATGCAGCCAGCATTTCAGGAATCATGGCTAGGGTTTTGGCTCAGTCAATTAATGTCCCAGGCCTAGTGGCTGGGCAAAGGCATGGTCAGCATAAGAGATCTGCAAAATTAAAAAGATCTGTCAAAATGATGTATACCTTAAGGATGCCTGCATTAAGACTGGCAGGTTTTTCAGGACTACGTACTTTTAATCCTTTGGATACTATGTTGAGACCAGGACCAGACTTTCATTCTAAGGTGCTAACTGCAACTTCTTCAAGTCGAGCACGGGCTAGCAGATGCATACCTAAAGCCATGTTTGACCGTTTCACAGAGAAAGCAATCAAAGTTATCATGCAATCCCAGGAGGAAGCTAGACGGCTGGGTCACAATTTTGTTGGAACAGAACAGATTCTATTAGGTCTTATTGGTGAGGGAACTGGTATTGCTGCTAAGGTTCTAAAGTCTATGGGAATTAATCTTAAAGATGCACGTGTGGAAGTGGAAAAGATAATTGGAAGGGGTAGTGGATTCGTTGCCGTTGAGATTCCATTTACTCCCCGTGCGAAGCGTGTTTTGGAACTCTCACTGGAAGAAGCTCGCCAACTTGGTAAGCTCACCAACTTGCTCTTTCTTACCAGTTTTCCCATGGTTTGTTGTTGCTGTTTGAAAAATGGTAGAATTGATTTGGTCCAGTGCATTTATCCATTTTACATGAAGAGTCAAGTAAGTTTTGATGATTTATAGAAAAAGTAGAATAACAAAGTAAAAAACCTGAGGATTGGATTAACTACCCCATTATGTAATGTGTTACAGAGAGAAGATAAGGATCATGAACTAGATTCATATTTATAAAGGACTCCAATCTTCAAATGATCCATAATACTCCCTGGAAGATGCTGTTTGCTAAGTACTGTGATGATGTAAAATAAATCTCTTTTGTCTAACATTTCTTGCATAATGCTCCTGCCGAATGCTTGAAAACCTTTCCAGCCATGGCGATCCACTGATAGATGGTACTATCTTCCTTCAAAAACTAAAATGATTTATACAAATTGGTTGGAGTTATTAGGATGTCAAATAATATTTGGAGTTAACAAAGTTTTACTCAGTGCCCTCTTGAGCATTTGGAATTCTAAAATTTTGCATTTTGATGGGCATAAAAGTAGTTTTAGAGTAAGTTATTTACTATATGAAATATTGCAAACATGATGCTGCCTTGATTGATTGTCAAGTAAGAAGTAATTTGCTTTAAACACATTCGAAGCGAGTTGGAGTTTATTGGTCAATTGGTTTATGTTTTTTTTTATTTTTGGCTGGCCTTTTCTTTTTTTTCTTTTTTTGGGGAGTGGAGGGGAGGATTGGGAAAATTTATATTCAGTTGTGATATTTAGTCTGCAGATGCTGGAACATTTAAGCTAGAAATTTTCAGGTCACAATTATATTGGATCTGAGCACTTGCTTCTGGGTCTCCTTAGAGAGGGAGAGGGTGTAGCAGCACGTGTTCTTGAAAACCTGGGTGCTGATCCAACTAATATTCGCACTCAGGCTAGTATTATGTCCTCATTTATTGTTTTTCCCACATTTTCTATTATATATGAATATATTTTTACCTTAACTTTTCTGTCAATCTTGTTTTTCTCCACTGGATGGTAACAGGTTATTCGCATGGTTGGTGAGGGTGCTGACAGCGTTGGTGCTACTGTTGGCCCTGGAAGTAGTAGCAATAAGTTACCAACTTTGGAGGAGTATGGCACCAATTTGACCAAGCTAGCAGAGGAGGTATTTGTCAGTTCCTAGTTTTTTCATGACAGATAGTAGATGAGGCTTCATTCTATGCAAAACCATAATTATTTCTCTTCCTCCATTCTCCCCCTCCCCCAACTAAAAAAACCAAAATCCCAGGGAAAATTGGATCCTGTTATGGGTAGGCAGCAACAAATTGAGCGTGTCACTCAAATTCTGGGCCGTCGTACAAAAAATAATCCTTGTCTTATTGGAGAACCTGGTGTCGGGAAGACGGCAATTGCTGAAGGTCTTGCCCAACGGATCGCAAATGGTGATGTTCCTGAAACCATAGAGGGAAAGAAGGTTCGGAGAAATTATTTAATCTCTACAGTCTTTTAAAATTGGTGTTGGTTCAATTCAGGGGATTTGCAGTTTCATTTTCAGCTCTATCAACATGTTTAGCTTGCTGGATCTATGTAGAATGATTCTAAAATAATATCCCATTTCTTCTATTTTTATTTGGGGAATTTCACATGTTGGCTACTAAGGTATTTTTGGGAATCAAGACGGTTTGGAGCACCCTGCCGGTTCCATTATATGCTGATAGAGTACCTTGTGTTCTGCATCATTTAGGTTATAACCCTTGATATGGGTCTGCTTGTAGCTGGAACTAAATATCGTGGAGAATTTGAGGAGAGACTGAAGAAACTAATGGAGGAAATCAAACAAAGTGATGAGATAATACTTTTTATTGATGAAGTGCACACTCTAATTGGAGCAGGAGCAGCTGAAGGGGCAATTGATGCTGCAAATATATTAAAACCAGCTCTTGCCAGAGGTGAACTGCAGGTGATGTTTTCCCTTGACATTTTCAAAATGGATATATTTCCTTTTGACTTTGACCTTCTCCAAATCAATATCTTTGTGGTGTATAGGGGAAGAAAGAATGGTTTTTGCATCGCCCTTGATTTTGTCATAAAAAAAGGGATAAAAGACTTGCTCTTTTCCGTGTTACTGGTCAATGGTCATATGTTTAGGTTATCCCAGCAATCTATACTTTACAAAAAGGAATATCTAGTCTTTCCTCTTGTTGTTCAATGTTTGTGAGTTGTTAAAACTTGTGATATTTAATAGGTCTGGTATAGGTGGGCTTTTAATTCCCAATTCTGATAAATGATCATTTATTTCTTGCGTGTAGCAGAAAATAATTTGCGGGAGTTTCAGTAATTAGTTTTGTAATGTTATTATCAAAAAAAAAAAAGCTCTCATATTCAACACTTCAATCTTGGTCATTAGTATAAGAATGCAGAATGATCACTTTAGATTGGTTGTGATATGTGAAGACATCTGGTTATGCCTATACTAAACTTACCATAATGCTCATCGTGTAGATAAGTTAATAGATTTGGTTAAATGCCGATACTGAACCTTAGGTGGAACTGTTCTAAAAAAGCGCCTGCTTAAAATTTATGCAGTGTATAGGAGCCACAACACTGGATGAATACAGGAAGCACATTGAAAAAGATCCAGCTTTGGAGAGGAGATTCCAGCCAGTTAAGGTGCCAGAGCCAACTGTGGATGAATCCATACAAATACTAAAAGGACTTAGAGAACGCTATGAGATTCATCACAAGCTCCGATATACTGATGAGGCTCTTGTAGCTGCTGCACAGCTGTCACACCAATATATCAGGTTTGTCATAATTTATATTTCTGCACCTTCTCTGTTCATTTTCCCTTTTCATTTATGCCAGAACAGACAATAATTTTTTTTAATCAATGTTGCATGTTTAAGCAGGAAATTTTCCACTGAATTAATTAATGTATATTAATCTCTGTAATATAGCATTGGTAGTTCTCTTTTGATTGTTTTTAACTTTTTACAATATTTATTTTGGAACTCTAATATAGTTGTTTGATATAAATGAATAAAAAATGTTATATCTTGTTATTTTGTGTTTGCATTTTATTATCTTAAGTATTTTCTAGCTTATAAATGATGGTATCTCCTCCAGTGATCGATTTTTGCCCGACAAAGCTATAGACTTGATTGATGAAGCTGGTTCCCGAGTCCGGCTTCAACATGCACAGGTATATTATTCGTCTATCCTTACTTGAACTAGCAGTTTTTTCGTCTATTGTTGAGCTAATTGGACTAGATTTACGTACTTCCAGATGCCTGAAGAAGCAAGAGTGCTCGACAAGGAGGTCAGGCAGATTGTGAAGGAGAAAGAAGAAGCTGTTCGCAACCAAGACTTTGAAAAGGTGAGATTTAACTTGTGAAGTTTTAACGTCAACCAGCATTTCCAGGACCCAAACCATCTTTTTCCAATGAGAGATAATATTATGTTTGTCTTTAGCAAAGTAATGTTTTACTTTTACTAAACATATAGAGATACATGAGTTTGGCTAACAATTAACGGTTTGATGATATAAATAGGCTGGAGAGCTACGAGATAGAGAAATGGATCTTAAGAGTCAGATCTCAGCACTAATAGAAAAAGGAAAGGAGATGAGCAAGGCAGAGAGTGAGGCAGGAGATGGAGGACCAGTTGTGACTGAAATCGACATACAACATATTGTCTCCTCCTGGACTGGTATTCCTGTTGAGAAAGTCTCGACAGATGAATCTGATCGTCTCCTCAAGATGGAAGATACATTACACAAGCGAGTCATTGGTCAAGATGAAGCAGTAAAAGCTATTAGCCGGGCTATCCGTCGAGCCCGAGTTGGGCTGAAGAACCCTAATCGTCCAATTGCCAGCTTCATCTTTTCTGGGCCAACTGGTGTGGGGAAGTCTGAGTTGGCCAAAGCGTTGGCTACTTATTACTTTGGTTCTGAAGAAGCCATGATTCGGCTTGACATGAGTGAATTTATGGAAAGGCACACAGTCTCCAAACTCATTGGCTCACCGCCTGGATATGTTGGTTACACTGAGGGTGGTCAATTGACTGAGGCAGTTCGGCGTCGTCCCTACACTGTTGTTCTCTTTGATGAGATTGAGAAAGCCCATCCTGATGTTTTCAACATGATGCTTCAGATCCTGGAAGATGGAAGGCTAACGGACAGTAAGGGAAGAACTGTGGACTTCAAGAATACACTTCTTATAATGACATCAAATGTTGGAAGCAACGTGATTGAGAAAGGAGGCCGTCGTATAGGATTTGACCTTGATTATGATGAAAAGGATAGCAGTTACAATCGAATCAAGAGCTTGGTGACTGAGGAGCTGAAGCAATATTTTAGGCCTGAGTTTTTGAATAGGTTGGATGAAATGATTGTTTTCAGGCAACTCACAAAACTGGAGGTGAAGGAGATAGCTGACATAATGCTGAAGGAGGTGTTTGAGAGACTGAAAGCCAAAGATATTGAGCTTTCAGTTACGGAGCGATTCAAGGAGAGAGTGGTTGAGGAAGGTTATGATCCTAGTTATGGGGCTAGGCCTCTAAGAAGAGCCATAATGCGACTTTTGGAGGACAGCATGGCTGAGAAGATGCTTGCTAGAGACATTAAAGAGGGCGACTCTGTTATAGTGGATGCAGATTCTGATGGTAATGTGATTGTGCTCAATGGCACTAGTGGTACCCCAGTGTCGCTGCAGGAGGCTCTTCCTGTATAACGTAGTTGCCTTTGCTTAGTTGTTTGGACTTGTTTCTTTCAAAACACAGTCATAGCCAGTTTAGTTGTCAATCAACCTAAAGCTTTTAATTAACTACTGGAAGTCCTAGGGACGTTTTGCTCATATAGCCATCAAAGCAAGTAGAGAAGAGTTGGGGAGAATGCAAAATGGCGCTACTGTTTGTCATACTTTGAATAGGGTAAACAATTTTTTATGAAAGCTGGGGATTTTTAAAAAGTTTTCACTGCTAGGCCTCAGGGATACCAGAATTCTATTGTTATGGCTTAATTTTAAAAAGATATATTTGTTTGACAATAACAGGTTCATACGAGGTATAGCACTGCTGTCGCCAAATGACCTATGGTATATAGTTTTCTATCATGGGTTACTTATTCAATTCTCAAATGCATGCTTTTGATTGCAAAATAGAGTACAAATTCCCCGAGTGGGGTATGCATGATTCTTATAATACGGACACCCGTTTGCTGGCCTGTGAAACAACTTCATTATGACAAAACTCATGCTACAACTCTTTCAATGAACATATTAACGATATGTGACAGCTGTTGGATCCACTTCCAATCCTATATTCTACTTACACTGAATTTATAACATGCTGATATTTGTCAGAGTAAAATTTTAGAATTTACAGTTTCTATTGATCAATTATTGAATGAGAGGACCTTTGTGTGGGGCTGACACTCCCACCACGGCTAATCTTCAAAGCAGTAATTGCCTTCTGGATCTCCATTGTCATGGCACTATCTACGCTCCCAGATGATAGCTTTCTATGTGATTTCTGCAGATGTAGCTTAAGTGAGCTGCTGCTTAGTCCAGCATTCTTCCCACAAATGGGGCAGACTTTCATTGTTGGTTTCCGCTGTTGCCATTCCATTGAAACCTTCCCATGCAGTTTCTGATCCAATTCCAGTAAGAGCCTTGCAAAACCATCATTGGGCTGTGCTCGACGGTGAACTCGTTTCAGAGCATGCCATGCTTTTGATAATGTGAACTTCCTGCACCACAAAAAAATTTCAGTTCAAAAACTGTTCCAGGTGTCAATCACTAGCAGTAATAATCTTAAATATCAAAGAACATTAACTTATGATTGCCAGATGGTGTATTATAATTAGATTGCTTCATAGCATCTAACCATGAAAAATTTGGTGATTGATTATACAATTAAATAGTTCACTAGCAACATTGATTGGTTCCGGAGGACAGTATCATTTTCTACTATGCCCTAATATTTTATTAATTGTTATTTTTTACTTACTTCCTGAGCATTAAGTAAGCAAGGACCAACGTGACACTTCTGCTTCTCCCCTCAAAGCAATGAACTAAAACTCTCTGACCTGTTTGTTCAACATAATCTATAAAATCACACGCTTCTTCAAATATGGTGCTGATGTTAAAATCTTCACTGTCACACACCTGTTCGAACGGGACAGTGAGTAAAACCAGTATAAAGACATAATCCTGAAAGGAAGCTAATATAAAAGTACATTCTAACGGGAAAAAAATGCACAAGAATAAGAGCACAGCATATGATACTGCTGTACTATTGCTTCTGAGCTAGGTTGGCATATTGCTGACTGATGCAAATACTGAGGGAAAGGGAACAATTTCAAAGGCAAAAAAATAAAATATGAATTGATTAAGCATGTTAGTAATGCAGAAAAAACTTCAACCAGATTTACCCTGACCATTTCTCTAGTCCACTATCTAAGAGAGAACACTGTAGTGGGACGAACCGATTTAAGGATTTCGAAGAAGATGATTGTACCGAAAAAGGCTCACTGACTAAGAGAGAAACAACATCGACTATAGTGATACTTAAATAGGAAAAAAATCACGAAGTATATGGGTATATAAAAACCAATCCTAAGAGATAAAAAATAGATAAATAATGAGATTGCATGGATAAATAATGAGGAAAGTTAGAGATAAACATCAATCAGGAGCTCAACTGGTTCTCAAATAAATTAAATATCCGCAAATAAGAGAATGGAATAATTGAGGGTAAAAAATAGATAAATGAATGACTTACAGAGAAATTTTTGTACTCGAACAGATCAGGAAGTTGACATTCAGACTGTCCAATTTCATTGGTACACAAACACAAAATATGTGTGATTCCCAAGTATTGGAGTGTGTATACAGATCTTGCAGCAAGTGCTCCCCCAATGAACAGACTACTTGTAACAGCGGATGGTCTCTCTGTACTTGCAGCCTCAGATATCAATGCAATTCTCTCGAGGATATGCTCAAGTCTGACCTGAAAGTTAAAAGGGTAAATGCATCATGAATAGGAATCCCTCACAAATGAAAGGAGTCTAATATATTTCAGTTCTGAAACTATTAAAGAGAAGATAACCTTAAGTTCGTATGCATCAACTACACTGTTATTATCACTACCCTCGAAAAATCCTGTATTGAAATTGTTCTCCTGGCATAGCTTCATGGCATCACTTTTAAGCATTTCATTCCACTGCTCCAATTCTTTATTAGATTCAGCATCAACCTGAAATCGTGATACGGTCAGTATAAAAAAGCAGGAAAATAACGAACACACATGGTAAACATGCTGTTTTATATGGTAAGCAAACAGCTAATTACGTTGCTCACTTGCTCTTGTATTCTTATTTGCCAATCACCCTGAGACACGGGATTGCATATGACTGCTAATGTTTAATTTGAAAACCACATTTTCCAGCGTTTTCGTGACAACCTTCTGGTATATGTTATATAGTGTAATTACAAGACAGCATCAAGAGCAGAAGTCAAGGTAACATAGAAATAACATGCATGCCCAAAATAAAAATCTATGCTGTCACTTTTGAAATCAACAATTTGTCAGAATCATAAGCATTGTCCACATTAGTCAATTTTGTGTATAGACATGCAATAAAGTCATCTTGTTTTGCATAATAAAGCAATATGCCACTGACTATTTATGATCTATCCAAAAAGTCAAATGGAAAAAATGCACCAAAACAACAATTCAAATTACTCCATCAGCAGCACAAAAACCATGCAACCAGTAAACAAGGATATGTTACCTATGAGACCAACCTTGGCAAATTTTTGGAAGTCACGGAGTTTAGCTGTCAAGCGGAGACAACGAAGTGGCTCCCCACTTCCTTTGTAGAATTTTCCATGCCAACCTTCTCTTGACATAGGAGCCGAATCACAGCAATCTCTATTGCATAACGACGATGCCCTTGAAACAGTTCTCTGTGATTCTGAATCAGTAAAATCTTGATGGTTATCATTAGCAAGCCTCTCCTTACTTGTTGGAGAGGAACAACTAACACCAGCAGTCTGTGAAGGTGAGTCAGGAACCACTGAATCCTCTTTGTCGGATTCCCCCGAAGATATTTTGCTTATAATGTTCATAAATGATCGTAACAAACTGTCAAGTCTTTGGTGAAGTGTGAGTAGGAATATATGGAATCCTTGCAGATCCCTAATAGAAGCACGGAAACCAGTACGGAACGCATGAACTACTGATGTCATGTCACTTGCATGTACATCAGTTGTATCCATGTCTTCTGGTGAAGGACATCCTAATTTCCCTCCAGTTATATCATATAACAGGTTTGAGGCAAACTCAGAACTATTGATCAACAACTCAACCAACTTAGGATAATTAACCTGATCATTTGCACGTTTTCCAGCAGGGGGTCGCCGAGGAACACCAGAATCAATGGCTACAATATGAAAGTCAGGAGACAGTGATTCTCCTGATGTTTGACTTTTAAGGCTTATGGCACAAGATCTTGGTGATTCTGCGATCTCTGAAAGATCAGAGGCCTGTGATATCAAGCCAGGATTACGAGAATCGAGTCTGCTATCTACTGAAGTTGACCTTCTTTCTTTTTGAAGTGCCCTAATCACCTTCGGTCTATATCGATTAATTGCAGAATCAAGAGCTGCTTCTAGTGTGTTTGTATTCGCAGAGATCATCTTTTCAGCCAACAATAAATTTGCAGAATTCCCACGCCATCTAAGCTCACGGCAAGGGAGCCTATCTTCATTTCTGATGACAAGGTCCAGCATCAGTACCCTGCCAAGAGCTTCTGATGTTCTGTCTGCAGATTCGCCTGACTCAAATGCACTAGAGTTTTCAAGCAAAGGTGAACCATGTACGTAACTGCAAGAAGATGGTGAATCTTTAGAATAAACAATCAAAATTTATTTTGTAGAAGAAAAGCCATGTGCTTTTGCAACAGAAGATGCTGTTGAGTTACTAGCTATAGTTAATAGTGTTTATATATGTATGTATGTATATGCATGCATATGCCACTATTTCCTAGAAAGGACAACAAAAGCAATTGATATGGTATCTGTAGAACTAGAAAGGGGAAAAGATCTTAGAGAAACCTTATTCCTATGAATATGTCAATGACTAGCACCGTACATTACAGTGTTATTTGTAACAGGCAAAAGGGGCCGTGCACAGCCTGTAGAACAAGTGGAATTGGTTTACCATCATAAGTGGATGAGAAAAAAAGAATCAGTTAGTTGTTTCTTGGTGGTTCTGTTGGGTATCAAAGACTGAAATTAATGGAAACAAGAACAATCTGGAACTGTGTTTGTATTTCTGTGAATGTGATTACAATGGAAACAGGAAAATGTGACGAAACAGAACACGAACAGATACACACTGGCAATTCTGAGAAGCTAGCCCTCTCCCCAATCACCCCTATGGTGCCCCCAATTCACTCACTATTTTCCTACCTTCCTCGAATCTTCTACTTCCCTATCTAACAGTACCCCTAACCAACTTTCCCTCCAATTCCCTCTAACGGATTTCCACTCACGGTCTCTTCCACATCAGCATCTTCCAAGTGTTTATCAACTGACCCCCGCTTATTCTTTCTTGTATACACCCTAGTTACTATGGGTCCATCAGGTTTCCACTTCCCAGAAAACTTTGTGAGTGTTACATTGAAATTTATCTGAAAATATCATTTATTGAATGGTTTTATACTTGAATTAACTCATAATATAGGAGGATATGACTGCACAGAAGCCAAATTTGAAATTACGACCCCAAGTCCAAGCATGAACAAGAATACTTATTTCATGGAAACACAAGATCATCAATCAGTGGCAAAAGTAATAGAATAGCAGGGGTTGATATTTTGGGTACATTTCTTTTAAAAATGGGAAATTATGTATTCTGCTTTTTTAAGCATGCCCTTCACCTTCATGCCAACTACACCTGGCAGGACAAAAACTGTTATTATGTAAACGGCAGAAACTTTCATAAAGGCTACCTTTGTCCAAAGACTAGAGCTTTTTACCTCGGCAATCTTAATTATCAGTACCAAAAGAGGGAAAGATAAGGAAATTAAAAACCCAATCTAGGTTTCCCAAGAATAAACCTTTCATTGGTTTTCCTAGAAATGCTACAAGAAAATGCCTTCTACTTAGCATGCTGGAGAAACTGGAAATATCAAGAAAACATAAGTACCAAGAAAGACACTTGCTTTGTCAAACAAGGCAATGGGACTTTCATGTATGAGAAAGAGCAATTATCTATTTTGTTAGAAATATTATATAAAATATAAAATCATTCATGTGCCTTCTTTTAATAACTAAAGCTTTTGGGAGAGTTGGTTTATGACAAAGTATTATAACCTCTATGACTAAGTGGTCTAGAGGTAAGTCCTTGTCTCCCCCATTCTTCTCCGTTCTCATAAATATTGTGGAATTTTTTAGCATAAGTGAGTCTGTACATTGTCTACCCTTTAAATCTATGATCTTTTGCGTGAGAGGACATGTTAAAAATATAATATAAAATATAAAACTATTTATGTGCTTTCACCTAACAGCTTAAGCTTTTGGGAGAATTGATTCGTGACATATTTCAAAGATTTACTTCAGGTATGTCAATGCTCAGTTGAATGGTCCAGCACTGAGCTTATTGAAATTCCACAGAAAATAAAATAAAAAATCAGTAAGCGGCATAATACAATGTCTGCTTCATTCAAGACAGAGTTATCGGAAGTGGTTTAGCAAGCAAAGATATTCCATGCTGCCATGTTATAAATCTGATCATATTAAAACCAGATTTGGATCATACCTCATAAAAAAGAGACATCGGCTAAGCTCAAGTGCTTCCAAAAGTTCAAAACATGTCACTTCACCAATTTCATCACCCTCAGAATTTGCTGCTTCTCTAGCTTTTTCTGCAGCTTCCTTTATTTGTTGCCATTCTAAACTGGTATTGTGAATGACTCTAGCCTGCATCTTCCAAATAATAGAAGAGAATGAATATGGTAGAAGTACAGTCTGATAGCCTAAGCTTGCCGCTATGGTGCTTGTGTTATAAAACCTAAGGGAACACAACCTGTGGAGATTGGACTCCCAACCACTTGGCAAATTCATAGCCAAGGCGTTCGGACTGTGTTGCCATTCTTGATGATGCTATCTTTATAACGGCTGCTTCTTCTTTTGGAAAAGCATCAGCACTCCCAAGGCAATTGAAGAATGCAAAGAAGACAACCCCTCCTGAATTTACAGTTACCTATGTACACACAACTGATGAGAAACTTTGACAGAAATTAAGAAAATACACAATTGATGCACACATACTTTTATCTAATCTGGTACTACAAAGAAAATACAACATATGGTTACTATAATGTTTGTCCAAAAACGAAAACCCATCTGCATAGGTAATGCTATTAACTCCACACTAGAATGAATTAACAGGATAGGTGCTGATGCTGTACAGTGAAGCACTAAGTGAAAATATATTGGACAGAAGCTAAACCAGCAGCAAATCAACATTCTTTATAACTTCGAAAACTAACAATTATCAACATGCTAAATCAATATTTACTCTCTCTGTATCTAACTCTCAGGGTTAAGCTAAAATAATGATATAATCAAGTTTACAGTTGTTAGAGAAATATAAAACCATTCATGGGCCTTCACTTCTGAGCTTAAGTTTTTGAGTTGAAATGGTTCTTTACATGCTATCAAAGCTTCTGTGACTAAGTGGTCACAAGTTCGCTCTTCACCGCCCCCATTTTATTAATAAATAATTAAATATTGTAGAGTTTCTTAGCACAGGTAGACTGTGCCTGATGCATCATCCACCCTTGAAGTCTAATGGGCTCTCATGTGAGGGGATGTATTAGAGAAATATAAATCCATTAATATAGCCTTATCCAGCAGCTTAAGCTTTCGGGTTGAATTGATTCTTTACAATGGTCATAATTAGAAGGGCACAAATAAAAAAAACCAAAAAGGGTGTCCATATGCAGGGTGCACATTGGCTTACATGTGAAAACTATGTTGGCAATCTATGACATACAAGTTGCATATAAAATATCAACCATATTTGCTATTCACTCCTAAAAATTGAAGGACTTTATATTAAACTCAAAAGAGTATTGTGCTGCAGCTTGTACATAATAAGTATAGAAAACGATGAACCTCAAGAGCCTTGTTCATTTCATCCTCAGAATGTTCATTGCTACTGCTGTGTTCAGTGTGGTGCAGCGAAGAAAGCATGTCCCAAGAAAAGGAGCTTGATTCAATGTCCAACATTGCAGCTTTCCCAAGCCTCTCCCACAAGCTAATTTCTGTTTGATCAGGGACCAGCTCACATTTTGGATCCTCAATCGATTCTCTGATGCTGAACACAATTTACGAGCATTACCAACACAGACCAGAAACCTTAAAAACTATAACATTCAACGAATGCCAATTGAAAGTAAGTAGTAGTAACAAACCTAGAACTTGAAGGCATGGTGGTGCTGGAAGTGCGGTGAGGGAAGCCAGAGGAGCGATACTTGATAGTGCGTTTACGAACCAATTGGAGCCATTGCGTGAACCTAAACGCAGGCCCTGCAGCAATATCTCCCAACATATACAAAACCTGCGTTCCCCAATTCCCCAATTCCCCAAACAATGTCAAAAAGTTTCAAACTTTGAACTTTTAGCATTGATCCATGCAGTTGCAGTTTCAGCTTCAAAATGCCATAAATTTGAAAAAAAAAGAAAAAAGAAGAAGAAGAAGAAGAAGAAGAAGAAAAGTTAAGCAGACCCGAGAATTCACGGTGAGAGGCAATGGGACATCAATGTCAGCCTCAGCCTCATCGATTTCGAGTTCCAATTCCTTCTGTTTGTCTTTGCCCTGCAATGCCCACTCCCACATGCAAAAAATGTGTTATGTTAATTTGAAACAGCAACCAGATACACAATAATGGATCTACAACTACCACTGAGTGAAGATCACAATACAATACACAACAACACTTCATGTAAGATCTAAATTTGAACCATGGTGTTATTTTTTATTTTATTTTTATATTTATATGATTTTGTATATTAAGTACATGAAAGAGGGTGTTAACCTGCTTTTGCTCTTTTGCCATATGTATGGTATTGTTATACGGTATTAAAAGATTTTGTTGTAACGGGGAATGTAAAGTCAAATTACAAGGGAAAATTGCACGGAATGGAAGGCAAAGTAGTCTGCTTTTTTTAAGGAGAGGGAGAGAGAGAGAGAATTAGGAGGGTTATGAATATGATGATAATATATATATATATATATATATATATATATATATATTTTGGAGGTGAGAAAGACACAACAGAAAAAGAGCTACGCCTGCTGCTTGAAATTCTACTATCAAACACTGCTTAGCAGAACACAAACGTTGAATGATAACAAATTAACAATTGTACAATGAGTATAACTAGATTTAGAGAAACTTTTGAGGTTCAGATCAGGCAGTGGTGTGGTAGTGGTTCATGTCAATGAATAGAGAAAAAGAGAGAGAGGTGAGTTTGAGCTTGGAAATGGAAGATTAAGGTTTCAGCAAAGCAAATCATGACTGACTGTGATGGCATCAATATCCTCCACTTTTCTTTTTTTATGACGGTGTTATGGACTCTACAGTGAATAGAATAGTGATATCTTTGGATTCGTTTATTTTTATTTATATATTATGGTACCATCATATATAGTAATATAGTATCTCATGCCTTTATAATAAATGCTTACTTATGAGGTTTTGTTATGAGTATTCAGATCTCGCAACGGTCTTTTTCATTAATTTTCCCCGCTTTCTGTAGCGCTAGTACCAATGCCAACAAAAATATTAGTACGATTTTTAGTTCACATGGGGTGGAGTGGTGGACAGATTCAGGGCATTAATAAGTTGCTGTGGTACTTATTTGGACATCGCATCTACTGCGATGGCTGAATTATTTGCAATTAAACAGTGAATATATAAAATCGACTTACTAGAGATGTTGAAGCCTACGCCATTCTTTTATCTTAGCCCGTGACAGGACTCTGATTGGAATAATAAATCAATGTACAGATATTTTTAGCTAAGAACTGGGTATTATTGTATTGGTTAATTTGATAACTTTCTTCCTATTCCCACTAGTATTTAAGGGAGTGGTATATATACTAAAGGCTTGGAAGTGTTAGAGAGTCCTTCAACTTGGATTGCTCAGTGCAGGAGGACATGTAGAAAATACTCTAATGTTTTTTTTGTTTTTTTTTTACATACCACAAGTATTTTTTAAAGGATACAATTCTGTTTTACGCGGGTTTAGGATTAAGGTTTTACAGAGAATCAAATAGATGCTTTCACCCGCACTTGTTCAGCTCTATGTACCAACTGAGCTATCATTGGTCAGAAAATAATCTAATGCTTAAAGTTAATATAAATGTAAATGCCAACGGAGTGAAAATAAAGAGAATCATACTTGAATTCTAAAAGGTTAATCTGGTTCGAGCCAAGTAGGGTAAGAAAGTGCGACAAAACTGCCCTCATTAAGTCTTTATCAACTCGACCTAAAATTATTGGTTAAGTTGCCACAACCTCCTATTTATGTTTGGGAATCTATACTGTGACTTTCCCTCATGATTATCATAAATGGAGTGTTTAATTAGTAATTATTATAACCGTCATGCATTTAAGGTTAATGTGATGTTGAAACAAAAAATCGAAGAATTAAGATGACTAGAGAGAAATTTTAGTTCTAAAATGGATTATAAAATAATAATAAAATTTAACAATTCATTCATTTAGCCTAATACAAAAGTTATATATATATATATATATATATATAGAGAGAGAGAGAGAGAGAGAGAGAGAGAGAGAGAGAGAGAGAGAGAAGGGTTCTTTTGACTCTAGAGTACAATTTTTAAGTCTTACTCCTCATCTTAGCCGTTGATGAATGAAAATCAACGGTTGTCATTTGTAATGTAATTAATAATTAATTGATTAATATAACTTCCAAAAATATAACCATTGGATGGACGAAAATCAAAGGCTGAAATGGGGAGTAAGAGTTATAAGTCTTACTCTGGAGTCAAATTAAAAAGTTTGACATCAAATCTTAACTGTTGATTTTCTGAATTTAACAATTATAATTTATTGGAAATTAATAATATATAAAATAAATATATTTACACCAGTATAAGTTATACTCTGAATTTTGATCATTAATTTCATTTTATCTAAATAACTTTAATTTTTTAATTATGTGAGTTATTATATACAAGTGAATCATTGATCAAAATTTAAATTTATTTTTTATTTTTACGTCAATATATATATATATATATATATATATATATATATATTATGAGAAATATTTTTCTCATGTTGCATGAGACATGTTGTCTCATGCAACACACAAAAAAGTGAGTGGGACCCACTAAAAAGAAGAGAGAGAAAGAAAAAAATGAATCTTACTCACTTTTGTGTGTGTTGCATGAGACAATTTGTCTCATGCAACATGAGAAAAACATATCCCATATATTATCAAGCTTTGACACGTTAACTCAACAACATAATTTATTTAAGGAAAAAACGTGTGTCATTTTAAAGGATGTAAAGTTGTGTCATTTTAAGAGAGAGAAAGAGATAGAAAAAAGAGGAGAGAGAGTTGACAAAAAAAAATAAAGGTGTGGGTTCCACCTCTTTGTGAGAGTGAAATGATATAAGTTGTGTCATTTAAAAGGATAAACACTTTTCCCTTTATTTAATCCATTATTCGTGTCGTGTGGTATCCTATTATTTCATAATAAGTGAGTGATATGGAGTGGTGTATGTCAAAAATATATAAATTTGAGGTTGATAAATTATACATATCGTGTCCACATAATTACATCAGACTTTAACCCAATAATACGAATTATCACGTACCAACGAAATGCAAATACAATGAATCAAATGCTAACTATAATCCAATGATGTTTCGCATGTGATCTTTGGGATTAATATTTCTTATGTTATATAAAATAATTTTATCTTTTATACATATATAAAAATGTGTAGGGCCTGTATGAAAAGAAAAGAGAAAAAAAGTAAATATGGACCTCATCTTCTTATATTCTAAAGGAATTCCATTCTTTGGCAAGTTTGCTGACATGTCGCTTCCTCCTTCACTTTCAGCTTTGTGTTCACACTACAAAATTTTAAAAACCTTTCATTCTTTGGTAAATCAGTGAATAAAAAAATATAAAAGAAAATCTAATTTTCAATTTAAATCGATGGACAATATTTCTTCATTTAAATCAATGGTCAAGATTTGTTATAAATTGTTGGTGGCAGACAACTCATTTAATGTACCTCTACTTTCTGAATTTCCAAATTTGAATTTGAATTTAAGTTGAACTTTTAAATTTGATTTTTGAATTGTGAATGGTGGCATGCAACTCATTTAATGTTGAGCTACCTTCTGCATTGGATTTGTTGAAGAATTGAAAAAACACATATGCTTCCGTGTACAAAATAGGAACGCTTGGGGGATGATTTTTCCTCTGTTGCTTCTATTGTTTTTTTTCTTTTTTTTTTTTCTGCTGCCAAATATCAGCTGTTTGCGCATTACTTACTCAACTAAATCGCGTTGTACTTCTCTCCTTTTTCGTCTTACCAAATAATGTTTTCAAAATATGATTTTCTGAAGGATGTCAATACTGCCAAGGAGGACTGGAGGATTAAGGTGAAGGTGGTTCAGGCTTGGAAAGTTCCTAACTTTCAACGTAAAGATTTTGACGACAAAAATGAAATGGTTTTGATGGATGAACAGGTAGTTGTCTGCGTTTTTTAAGTCTTCTGTCTCTCTTCTAATCATTTTAGTTAACGTTATTGATGTAATTTGTTCGCGATTTTTTGTAGGGTGGTCGGATCTATGCCACTGTCAAAGGTTCTTTGCAGGTACGGAAGAAAATCCATGAAGGAGAATGCTATTTTATAAAAAAATTTGGAGTTGGATTCAATAGTGATATTTTCAGGCCAACCAGGCATCAATATCGTTTGTCTTTCACCTTGAGGACTGATGTTAAATCGATTGTTGATTCTAATCTTTCTGTGAGTGAATTTGATTTTGTTGATTATGACATCATTGAAAAAGAATCATCTGACTCTCCTTATTTAGTGGGTAATATATTTTTCCTCACTGCTAATCGTTATTTAATTATTGCACTTTTTATGACGGACTTTTGCTGCCCTCTTTGTTTTGTAGACATCATTGGTTTACTGTCAGGAATTGGGGAAGTTTGTGATCGTGTAGTTTCTGGTAGGAAAACCAAAATGGTGGTGTTGGATCTTGACAACCTGAGGTATTTAAAATGTTATAGGTATTTTGGCAAACAACGACACTCCTCATAACATCATAATAGTTCAACTAGAAGGATAAAATGTTTTAGGGGTATGTTTTTTCTAAAGAAACATTTTTTGTTTTTTGCTTCTGTATTCTGTTTTTTATTCATTTTGTTTTCAATAGGTAAGGCCGGGTTAACGAATACAAAATATACAACAAGGATTGTCATGGATTCAAAGGTGCCAAAGATCGTTGAGTTAAAAAAACGGTGTGTGTATTATTCTTAAACTTATGTGTCACGTTTATTTGGGTTATTTGTGTTTTTTTTTTTGTTTTTTTGTTTGGCATATTTTTTTTATTCTTAATATAATGTGAAAACCATTTCATTTGATGACGTTGAGTGAAGATGCTCATAATTCAATTTTTTCTTTCTTTCTTTTGAATAGATTTGATGCAGAAGCAGTAAAGAATACCCCGTAGATTGGGCTAATGTGACTGGAGGAGAATATTTTGTGTCTTGGATACAATATGTTTACAAAAATATTGTTGTTATTGGAACTAAACAATTGCTATGTCTTTTGTTGAAGTGACATTTTTCAAATATTCAAATCGTGTTGTGATGTTTTCCTATGTTGAGTTCAACCAATGTATGTATTATCTGATGTACATTTCCTATCTAATTTGGTATATTGATGAACGTTGTTGTTTGCAATGGAATCCTAATATGTTGATGTGTGGTATGAAAAATTGTTTTATTACCCTTGATTCAATGGAATTCAAAAATTTACTTTTTTTTTTCTTCAAATAAGCAAATTTCTAACTACTAAACAGATCATAATCTACGATTTAAATCTAAACAAAGAAAAAATTGAAGTTTTAAAAACGAGCATCTATTTTAAAGTTTGTGTTCAATATTAATGCTGATTTAAATGGATTTTTACTGGTGACAGTGGCGTATCACTTCCTTTTCCAATATAAAAAGGATTTCGAGCGTCTAATTTAAAAACAAAAAATTTACTGTTTTTTCAATGCTTGGTTTGTATTTTTGAAATTTAAATTCTAAATTTGACTCAAACAAAAATTAACTAATTTAAACTTTAAACTTTAATATATGTTTAAAGAGGATAAAAAGGATTTCGAGCGTCTAATTTAAAAACAAAATATTTACTGTTTTTTGAACGCTTGGTTTGTATTTTTAAAATTTAAATTCTAAATTTGACTCAAACAAAAACTAACAAATTTAAACTTTAAATTGTAATATCTGTTTAAAAAGGATTTCGAGCGTCTAATTTAAAAACAAAATATTTACTATTTTTTGAACGCTTGGTTTGTATTTTTAAAATTTAAATTCTAAATTTGACTCAAACAAAAACTAACTAATTTAAACTTTAAATTTTAATATCTGTTTCAAAAGGATAAAAAAGATTTCGAGCGTCTAATTTAAAAACAAAATATTTACCTTTTTTTGAACGCTTGGTTTGTATTTGTAAAATTTAAATTCTAAATTTGACTCAAACAAAAACTAGCTAATTTAAACTTTAAATTTTAATATCTGTTTAAAAAGGATAAAAATGATTTCGAGCGTCTAATTTAAAAACAAAAAATTTATTGCTTTTTGTACGTCTAATTTTTAAATCTTACTACTTTCTACCTTGAAATTTCCAAATTAATAATAACTCATTGCTTTTTGAAATATTTATTTTAAATTTCGAATTTCATTTAAATTTGAATTTTGAATTTTAAACTTTGTAATGGTGGAAAAACATTTGGACAATTATTGGTGGCAGATAGCTTATTTATTATCTCATTATTTTCTACATGGGTAACTATTAACCATATTAATGCTGCATAAAAAAAAACTATTTTGTTAAAAAATAATCATTAAAAAAAAAAATATTTTGTAAAAAAATGCAAATATTTTGTGTACAAATAGAATATGTGTTATTGGGTTTTTTCATTTGGTAATGAGCTCCTGTGCACATATTTCTTCTCTTATCTGTCTGTTTATTTTCTTCATCTTCTCAAATTGTTGTTCTATTACATGAACATGTAATTTTTATTTTATTTTTTTGCATCTTTGTTGTAGAACAAAGTTGACGGGATGATTTGGAATCACTGGGATATATGCTCCTTGGGCACCATCTCAAAATTCAACACGATAAATTTTTTTCCTTTATCTTAAAGTCCTTCTATTTTTTATCTTTAATGTCTACAAAAGACATTAAATGAGCTGTCTGCCACCAAAAGTTTTCCCACCTTTTCAAAGTTAAAAATTCAAATTTAAAATTCAAATTTAAAATTCAAATTTAAACATAAATTCGAAATTTAAAAGAATTGAGTTATTATTAATTTAGAAATTTTAATGTAGAAAGCAGTGAGACATTGAATGAGTTGTCTGCCACCACAAATTGTTCACTTAATTTTTCATTTAATTTATTTTCAAATTTCGAATTTATTTTACAATATAAATTTTTTTATTGTTTTACAATATTTTTTTAATGTTTTTGTTTTTTTATACAACATTAATAGGGCTAACAATTACCTATGCAAAAAATAGTGGGATATACAACAAAAGAAAAATAGATATTTTTTTTACTCATAACATACAACAAAAGAAAAGTAGTGAGACATTAAATGGGCTGTCTGCCACCAAAATTTTTCCATCATTACAAAGTTAAAAATTTAAATTCAAAATTCAAATTTAAACATAAATTCAAAATTTAAAAGAGTTGAATTATTATTAATTTGAAAATTCTAATGCAGAAAGAAATGAGATATTAAATGAGTTGTTTGCCACAAAAAATTGTTCACATAATTTTTTATTTAATTTATTTCCAAATTTCGAATTTATTTTACAAAATAATTAGTTTTGTTATTTTACAATATTTTTTTAATGTTTTTGTTTTTTGTATGCAGCATTAATATGGCTAACAATTACCTATGTAAAAAAATAGTGGGATATACAACAAAAGAAAGAGGTCTTTTTTACTCATAATATTCAACAAAAGAAAAGTAGTGGGACATTAAATGAGTTGTCTGCCACTAAAATTTTTCCAAAAGTTTTCCTTCCATTACAAAGTTAAAAATTCACATTCAAAATTTAAATTTAAATATAAATTCAAAATTAAAAGAATTGAGTTATTATTAATTTGGAAATTCGAATGTAGAAAGCAGTGAAACATTGAATGAGTTATCTGTCACCACAGAATTTTCAAAAAGTATTCTTTTTTTTTAATGTGTAATAGAGTTTTTTTTTCTTTCAACAACATTTCGTTTGCTAAAAAAAATAAATTAGTGTATTATAAAACAGGTCCTAACAATGACCGTGTTTCTAAATATATATATATATATATATATATATATTTGTAGATATACATATTCTAATTGTTTTTACTTAAATAATAACATATTTGATTATATTAAATGCAATTCAATTCAATTCACCAAACATTCGATTTAGTAGAATAATTTTTTTGTATCAATTCATATTTGTTCATTATATTTTTGTTATAAATATAAAAAAATATGCACAATGAAAATAAAAGAATTTAATTTTTTGTTTTAAATAAAAAATAAAAAATTGCATTTATCTTTCTATAAAAAACAAATAAAATTCTGTAAACTGGACTAGGCCCGGAGGGCCTGCACGCCCTGCCTGCCAACATATTTTTATAATTAAATTAAAATTTCACTATTCTTCTTTTATAATTAAATTTATAAATCCGATTTTAATTTTTGTAAATACAAATTTGTAAAATTTCAAATACAAACGACACAAATCCTTGCTAAAAATAATTATTTATTATTAATTTGTAAATCTGATTGTAATAAATGAAAGTTCATCTCTGAGATAAAATATAAAAATCTAGACACAACTATAAGAGCCCTTTTTTTTTTATAAATATAAAAACATTACATGCTGATAGTTAGACGTGGCAAACTGGATTCGGCCAAGAGAGTCGGCCCACTAACACATTTGTCTAATTAAATTAAAATTCAACTATTCTTCTTTTATAATTAAATTTCTAAATCTGATTTTAATTTTTGTAAATACAAATTTGTAAAATTTCAAATACTAACGACAAAAATCCTTGCATAAAATAATTATTCATGATTATTTCGTAAATCTGAGTGTAATAAATGAAAGTCCATCTCTGAGATAAAATATAAAAATCTTTTTTTTGTGGATAAGTACAAAAACTTATTACATGCTGATAGTTAGAGGTGGCAAACTGGGCTCGACCTAGAAGGCCGGCCCACAACCTTATTTTTATAATTAAATTAAAATTTCATACTTCTTCTTTTATAATTAAATTCATAAATCTGATTTCAAATTTTGTAAATGCAAATTTATAAAATTCAAAGTACTAAGGACACCAATCCTTGCAAAAAAATAATTATTTACATAAAATGCTGATAGTTAAAGGTGGAAAATTGGGCTTGTCCCGGAGGGCCTGCGCGACCCGCCTGCCAACATATTTTTATAATTAAATTAAAATTTTATCCTTCTTCTTTTATAATTAAATTCCTAAATCTGATTTTAATTTTTATAAATATAAATTTGTAAAATTTCAGATACTAACGACATAAATTCTTGCAAAAAATAATTATTTATTATTATTTTATAAATCTGAGTGTAATAAATGAAACTCCATCTATGAGAAATACTGAAAGAAGCCGAGTCAAACTTTGTAATTTTTGAATAACCACAAGACAAGCTAAAGTATAGCGATATATTTTGGAATGACCATAGGATAAATATAAAAATCCATTACATGCTGATATAAAATGCTAATAGTTAGAAGTGACAAAATGGACTCGGCCCAGAGGGCCGGCCCACCACGCCAAACAAATCAATTTTTTTCTCCGTGCATCGGCACGGGTAATACACTAGTATATTTTTATATGAAAATCATGGGAGAGAAAATTGGTAGTTTTTTTTTAATTTAAATTTTAAATAAAAAAATAATTTCTTGTGTCTATCTCCCTCTTAAAATGACATAACTTTATGTCATTTAAAATGACAAACACTTTCCCTATTTTTATACATATTTAAGAAATAAAATTATTTTTAAACCTTAATCTCATAATTTATCACGAAAAAGATCTTCTTCAGTTTTCGGAAAAGTGCAAGAGATCTTAGCCAGAAAAAAATTGTTGCGATGCAAAATATTAATAAATAATAGATTTCAATAAATATCAGCCATTGGATCAATAACTGCACGATTTGCAATTTTTTAGGAAAAGGCATAGGACCGTAATCGATTTATCACCTCTACAATTCGTGGTTAAGAACTTAAGACCCAATGTCACTGATATAAAAACTTTTCCAAAGGCAATGAATTCCTTTCTCAAATTTTCTTTTGGGCTAAAAATAAATAAATTAATGGACTCAGAAAAAGCCCATTAATATGAGGTATACTAAGGGGATGGGAGACAACAGATAAGACATGCCATGATGATGCCAACATTATCAAATCCGAATGTCAAAACGAGAGATCTTACTTTTTTACCCTTCTGTACGATGAAGGGGTGGTTAGCAAACCACTTCAGGAATAAATCTTGAGTGCAATTAATGTACTGAATAAGTATATTTTATACTGTTTCTTGCCACTAAGGAGAAATAGGATCAGAATTGAAGCAGGTGAGCTTCTACAAGCTTTCCTGAAGAAATGACCGTGCCTTCAGCTCAACCAGGAATAATTCATAGTTTTCAATTTATAATTAAGGATAATATTTTTTTATAATATATAAGAAAAGTATTATTTCTTACTCAAACAATAAATACAAGAGACAAAAAAATTCTGGTAGAATCCATTTGAAAAATGTGAGTGTAGAAAATAATACTTTTTTCTTATTTAACATAAGAAAAGTGATTCCCTTATATTAATGTCTCTTACATATTTCCTTATATAAAAGTTGGAAAAACATTTTCTCCTTTTTAAAGAATAAAAATTTTCTCATGTTAGTGACTCATAGCATAAGTGGGTTTCACGTTAATTTTTTTTTTCTCTCCACTATTTTGTGGGCCCCACTTATAGGAACAGTGACCATTTTGCCACTATTGTCAAGAAAATTTACCAGACTGCCACGCCAACAGTAAATTTTGCCAAATGACACGTGACATATTTCACTACAATGTGTAGCAAAATATGTGTGCAAATAATTCGCTACACAGTGCAGCGAAATATGCCACGTCAGAACCAAAAATGCCACATCCCTGTTTGACACGTGACATTTTTGGTTCTGTGCATTCTGACGTGGCATATTTTGCTGCACTGTGTAGCGAATTATTTGCACATATATTTCGCTACACAGTGTAACGAAATATGCCACGTGATATTTTGACAAAATTTACTGTTGGCGTGGTAGTCTAGTAAATTTTTTTGCCAACAGTGATTCTTTGGTCACTGTTCCCCACTTATATTATGAGTGGTGAGAAATAATAAAAGGGAAAAATGTTTTCCGAGGAAAGTTTTTGGATTCCAAGCCTGGATAATAAGTACAGTGAGCTTTGAACCCAGGAACCACTTTGGTTACGAACTATGATATTATATGATATAATTAATTCAACCTATTAGAAAAAAGTCAACGCCTGAAAGCATATAGATCCCTAGGTTAGTGTTGCTACTCACGGCAAGTGCACCGATCGTACAAGTAATATATGATTAAGTAAGAGATCGTTCCCACGAGGATTACGGTTCAAGCACTAATTCACTATCGCAAACTTAGTTGGACAATCGAAAGTGTATTTGGAAACAGGATTTGAATTGCAAAATTAAAATATTAAATATTAAGCTAATTACTTGCAAGAATTAAAGACAAGAAATTAAAGATGTGATTTAACTAATAAAATAAAAACGTAGCTAGGGGTTCGATTTCCTTTAATCTCCTTATTATGATTCGAAGTCCTTCTTTACGTTAACCGTCCTTAATATCAATCTAACCAATTCTTTCGCGTGTTATTAGAGTTCAATCCCTTGTTACCCTAAAATCTTTACAAACTTGAAAGAACCCTAGTTCCCCGGTTATTCCCCAAGAATGCAAGCATTAAGTTCAAGAATCTTAAGGTTACGCAAATTCTATGTCTATCCCTAGAATCATAGCGTTTACGATGAAGTTATCAGATATGGATCACACACCAACATCCCTATTGTCATGCATTTACCGATGATCATTATATAAGATTCAAGCCTATATAAAGCATTAAAAACAGATAACTTCATTCATGATAAAAAGGAAAATTAACGTACGAATTATTCAAAGCATAATAAATCGACTAAAATCCATCTAACCCTAACTACTTAAAGAACTAGCCGGACATGGAAAAATCAAGAACAAAAGAAAATAGAAAAGCTCCCCCAAACTCCATAGGTGATTGGTGGATCTTCAAAATCTCCAGTGAACACTTGACGTTGATCCGTCTTCGCCGCTCACGAACATGAATCTGATGTTTCTCCGCGTTCCTTCAGCCTCCAAGCACCCAAGAGTTGTTTAGCAATCTAAAAGTTCTTCTTCCAGCGCGCTTAAGCCCTGAGTTAGGGGCTTAAGCGCCCATAGGCCGAGACTTTTTGCGTATTTTGGAGGCTTAAGCTTCCTTATTGGGGCTTAAGCTTCCATTGGCAGAGGCTATTTGCTTGTTTAGGAGGCTTAAGCTTCATGATGGAGGCTTAAGCTTCCTCTCTAACAACTTGATAAGATCTTAAATCTATCTTGTTTTTGATCTTCCTTTATCATCTCTTGATCTCATATCTTCTAGTTGTGATCTCTATCTATCCAATCTTCATCTTTTGACTCCTTTTGTCAACAAATCCCTAAAAAATAGCAAAGATGATTCAATTAAATAAAAATTCAGATAATGTTCATGATTATTATATTAAACCCTAGTTTTTGACTTATTTAACTTGATATTTTATATTAATTTAGTCTATAAAATAAGATAAACTAAAGGTTTATCAAACAATTCCCAGATTTGAACATTGCTGTCCTCAGCAATTAATTAGAATAAAACTATGGGAAAGTTTGGAGACGGCTAGTCATGCTTAATGAATAACAGACAGAAAACTGATCAATAATGAGATATCAAAGTATTCAGATTTATTAAAAATCAATGACACATCAATTTCAAGCAAACAGTCATAATTCACCAGTCATAAAATCATAACATGTGTTCTCAAAAGAAAGAGTAATACCATTTAATTTCCACAACACCCTCTCATTGGATTTTTATTTATTCACTCATACTCAGTGTTTAAGGGTATGTGTTTCACTCTTACTTCACTGCATTAACACTACCATAGGCTTGTTTATATTCTCACTCTCCACAGTGTAATTGGTATACAAGGTTAATCAAGAGGTCTTTGATAAGGTTGTAACGTGGCTTAGGTAAAAGGAAAGGAATTATCTGGGTAAGTGGCTTGAGATTACTGATCAAAATTCAATTTTAAAGATGAACTTTAATATGACTTTTCAACATTTCTCTTATTTTTCTCCTCTTTTCTTCTTCCACTTATTCATAAACTAGGAACCTTTTATTTCTTTTCTTTTTTTCCTTTTGTTTTTCTTTTTCTGTTTTTGTACAGATACACATTTCAACCTTTTTCTTTGCTTTTCTTTTCCACCACTTTTTGGCTTTTTCCTCTTTTCACCCTTTTCTCCCATACACTTAGAGTTTGATTTTCTCTTTTTGTTTCAATCATATCTAGTCCCTCATTTAAATTTGAAATTTAATCAGTTCAGGTGAGGATGTGTATAAAATGGCTATTCACAATAAGTTGTCAATGAATAAATAGGCCTAGGCTTAAAGGGGCTTCAACTAAGGATGAACATCAGGGTGGCTATTTGGCTATCTAGCTTTTAGAAAGAACTGCCTCTATCATTTCAACAATTGTATACTACAGACCATTTCAAAGAGAAACAAAACAAGTTCTAGAGTGATTCATACAGAGAAGTTCACACCACAAAAAAAAATATTTTCTGTTTAGGCTCAATAGCTCACGGCTAAGGGTGTGAGACTTATTTTTCCAACTCTCTATTTGATCACTTTAGTTATTTTTCTCTTATTCCAGTGAATTATGAAGCATGCTTGACTGACGCTCATTTATGTGTGAAAATAAATTTACACCATCATACTCTTAATCTCAACTATCAACCAATTTCATGTAATTATTCACTATGCATACATATCAAGCACAATGGAAAATTCTAAAAATTCACCAATTTTAAAATTTCACTAAATATTTAGTGATTAAGGATGGATGGGGTATTAAAAACTAATATATATGAAAACTCAATATAAACTAATACTTAATCAAAATAATTTTTAAAATAAACTAATACGAAATATTTAAAATCATATAATATGAAAATAATATTGAGAAACTCCCCTGAAAAACTGCATTTGTAATTTGGATATTTCTGTGTAATTTGTGTAATCATGAGTTTCTCCTGCCGACCATGTGAAGTTTATGGTCTGATGAATTGCGTGGTACCCATTCCCAGATTTAAATCTTGTTGTCCTCAGCAATAAATTTAAATCTAAAAGAATCCTAAGCAAGAAATCAGAAAAATTTGATACTGTACTCTGCACACATGTCACAGATAAAGAAACTACGTCAGCATGTCATATCCAAAAAAAAATCAGATTCACGTCAAGATCAGTCTCAATATACATCTCATATCAACATGAACTAAAATCAACAAAAGAAAAAAAATCTAAACATTGAGACAATGGTCAATCCTCATCAATTTCAGTAGTGGGTGCAATATCATTTCTATCAGCATCCTGTGTAGTGTCTGCAACCATATCAACATTAGTATTCGAGTATCCAACATGTTTGCAAAGTTAGTGCAATTTCCACATAACAATTCCCAGATTTATATTCAGATGCATCTGAAAATAATAATGAGTATATGGAACTGAAATACTTTAACAGTATGCATAATGTCAAATATGATCGCGCTTAAGCGCAGTGATTCGCGCTTAAGCGCGCTGAGGCAGTGAGAAATAGGATAAAATTTTATTTAGCGCGCTTAAGCGCGCTAGGGCCGAGAGAAATTTCACTTTTTTGGGGGCTTAAGCCTCCTTTAAGGGCTTAAGCTCTCAATACTTAGAAAATTTTCTCCATATTTTCCTATTCCTTGCATTCATCTCTACTGTGTATTCTTCCACCTTAATAATTCTGCTCAATATCATACACAAAACATATAAATGAATAAGAGTTGCGTACCTGTGTATGCTTTAATCCCACTTACACCTGAAAGTCCATCTCAACAGAATTTGATCATTAACCTCAATGTTTTTATTTTATTTTTATTTTTATGATATGACTAAAATAAATTATGCTAAGAATAATTAAAATAAGCTAAACTAAATTTAAAATACTATACTAAAATGTTGGAAAATAAAAAATATAGTTGGGTTGCCTCCCACAAGCGCTTGTTTTACGTCACGAGCCTGACGTACCTCTTTTATGTTCATGGTGGTTCAAAGCATGGGCTTGGTGATGACCAAGCTCTATCATTCAGAATGGTGTCCTCCCATAGTACTCTTGTGCATATGAGTGAGATGAAGTAGGCTCAATAGCTTTGAATTTTGTGTTTACGTGTTTTCCCTTGCTCCTGAGCTTCTCCATTTTAACCTTTGGCTTACTTTCTTGAGAAGAATTCTCTTTGTGCTCTTCTTCTCCTTTCTTTTCACTAATATAGTAGACTTGATCTTCCGGTTTAATTATAGGTGAGGGAACTTCTTTATCAAAGAACTTGAAAATTGCTTGCTCCCCGTCTACCCGTAAGATCAACTCGCCTTTCGGTACATCAATCAGCGCTCCTGAGGTTGCCAAGAAAGGTCTTCCGAAGATCATAGGAATAGTAAAATTTTCCTCTATATCAAGGATGACAAAATCAACAGGAATGATGAATTTGTCAACCTTTACCAGTATGTCCTCAATAATGCCATAAGCTTGCTTTGTAGAGCAGTCAGCCAGTTGAACTATTGTCTTGGTTGGCCTTACTTCAGTGATCCCCAGTTTCTTCATCATAAATAGTGGCATCACATTGATGCTGGCACCGAGATCACATAGAACATTTTTCACTTCCATATTGCCTATGTTGCATGAAATGCTGAATCTTCCTGGATCTTTAAACTTTGGAGGCAACTTTTTCTGGATAATGGCACTGCATTCCTCTGTCAGCGTCACCGTCTCACATTCTTGTAGCTTACGCTTTCGTGATAGAAGATCTTTCATGAACTTTGCGTAATTGGGCATGTTCTCCAAGGCCTCAGTAAACGGGATATTGATTTGCAGCTTCTTGAAAATGTCAAGGAATTTGGAATACTGCTGCTTTTTGATTTCCTCTCTGAACCTCTGCGGATATGGAATCTTTGCATAAGGTGAGAGCTCCAATGGCTTTTCTTGCCTTTCTTGAGCTTTCTTTTTCCTTTTCAGTTGCAAGTTCATCATCTTTCTTTTTCTCTACTGAAGGCTTTACCACAGGTTCAATGGCTTTCTCACTCACAGTAGTAATCACATTGCAGTGTTCCCTACTTGGATTTGGAATAGTGTTTCCTGGAAAAGTTCCTTGAACTCTTTCAGTGAACTGCTTTGATAGCTGGCCAATCTGAGTTTCAAGATTCCGGATAGAAGCTTCTTGATTCCGGAATGAGGCCCTTGTCTCTTGCATAAAGGCTGAAGTGTCCTCTCTGAAATTATTGGAACTTTGAATGTAATCTGCAGTGGTCTTGGATAGTTGTGCAAAGGCCTTCTCCCATTCTGATTGTTGTGGAGGTTGTTGTTGCACTGGCATAGGAGGATTCAGTTGATGGTTCGAGCTATAACTGAATCCTGGATGTTGATTTTTATTTCTCCACCCTTGATTCTGGTTATTGCCGTATTGGTTCCTCCCTGGGTTATATGGAACTTTCTGATCATGCCAAATTCCATTAACATCTGCAGTTTCGGGTGCCTTGCAGTCTTCAGTAGCGTGAGCACCTGCACAAATACCACAAGTTATTTGAATATCATTAACAGAAGAGACTTGAGAACTGGTAAATTGCTTTGTGAGAGCATCTAGTTGTTCTTGTTGTTTCTTGTTAATTTGTAAAATCTGTTCATTCTGAGCTAAGATGGCATCATAGCCATCAAGCTTCATAATCCCCGCTCTTCTCTGTGGTACTGGAGCATTATCATACTCCTGAGAGGCTAGAGACTCTAGTAATTCTAAGGCTTCCTCTGGAGTTTTTGTTTTTAAGGACCCTCCTGATGCAGCATTCACCAATGATCTTGTGTTCGGCGTCATCCCTTGAAAGAAGGTTCTCGCTTGCTCCCAAGCTTCAATGCCATGTTGGGGACACTTCCTAAGTAATCCCTTGAATCTTTCCCATGCTTCATATAGAGATTCACTTCCTTTTTGTTCAAAAGAAGTGATATCCGCCTTGAGCTTTGCCATTTTCGAAGATGAGAAAAATTTGTCCAAAAATTTGTTTGCCAAGTCGTCCCAGTGGGTGATGCTTCCTTGAGGTAACGATTGCAACCATCCTCTTGCTTCGTCTTTAAGTGAACAAGGGAACAATCTGAGCAAAATAGCATCCCGAGACACCCCATTCATCTTCAAGGTATCACAATATAGCAAGAAGTTTTCCAGATGGATGTAAGGGTCTTCCGTGCTTCCTCCGGCAAATTGGTCTTTCTGAATTAATTGTAAAAGTGCCGGCTTGAGTTCGAAGTTGTTAGCATCCACGTTTGGTCTAACAATACTCGCCGTCTGTGGAACTCGAGCAGGAGTCATGTAATCTCCCAACGTTCTCGGAGGTGGTGGAGGTACATTGTTGTCTCCCATTGCTTCTTCTCTTGGTTCTGTTGAGCTTGAAGCTTCTTTCTCTTGCTGTCTTCTTTCTTTAGCAAGTTTTCTGTTTCTTTTTGCTGTTTTCTCTATCTCCGGGTCGAATTGCAAGGAATCGGTGTCAACGGTACCTCGCATAAACCAGAAAAATAGATTATATAAAATAAGAAAATAAAACTGAATTTAAATAACAGAAAAAAATAAGGTAAGGTCCAATCTAAAGAATTAATAGCTACTATTAATGTTGAAATAGTAATCCCCGGCAACGGCGCCAAAAACTTGTTGCTACTCACGGCAAGTGCACCGATCGTACAAGTAATATATGATTAAGTAAGAGATCGTTCCCACGAGGATTACGGTTCAAGCACTAATTCACTATCGCAAACTTAGTTGGACAATCGAAAGTGTATTTGGAAACAGGATTTGAATTGCAAAATTAAAATATTAAATATTAAGCTAATTACTTGCAAGAATTAAAGACAAGAAATTAAAGATGTGATTTAACTAATAAAATAAAAACGTAGCTAGGGGTTCGATTTCCTTCAATCTCCTTATTACGATTCGAAGTCCTTCTTTACATTAACCGTCCTTAATATCAATCTAACCAATTCTTTCGCGTGTTATTAGAGTTCAATCCCTTGTTACCCTAAAATCTTTACAATCTTGAAAGAACCCTAGTTCCCCGGTTATTCCCCAAGA